CTCATAACTGATCCAAAGCTTAAAATGCCTTATCAGACGTTAAAATGTTAAAAAAGAAAAAATGTTAAAAAAAGCAGCTTATAATGTTTTGGGAGCCAGAACTACAGATTTTTAAGTAAAACAGAACAACATTTACACAGTTCTGCAAAATGTCATGATAGTCTGTTAAAAGTTGTGCGTAGGTTGAAAATAATCATAATTTTCCAAATGCTTCTGTTTATTGATAAAGTAATATTGGGTTACAAAGGTAAAGATACATTGTCATGCCATAAATGAGTAAAGCGTTTTAATAGCGATGCAGTAGTTAATGAAACATGAACTCTATAAAATTGATTGACTAACCTGAAAAATGATGTGATGTAACTTGTATTTTGTAATATCTCCTTTCTGAATAATGATCTGTTGGCATCTTCAGATAGACTATCATACAGCTTCTGGATATAATATAATGGCATCTCTTAAGCATTCCGATTGCCACTTTTCCAAGCACTTAGTCCAAACTTTTGTTTTCCTGTCATGTGTGATAAACAACTGTCATTTCATCACTAAAAATAACATTCTTTCCTTGATTGTCTGTTGTCAGATGTACTTTACCCATAAACAATGCAATTACGCATCACTTTTCTGTCGTCTTTCTGTCTGTCCATCCATGCGTCCGTCTGTCACAAAACTGGTCTGGAATCCTCAAAAACTACAGTTGCAATTTCATCCAAACTTTACAGGAATGATCAGTACCAAGTCTAGATGTGCATATCTTAGGCTTTTTTCTGTTCAATGATTTTTGTCAGATTATTGCCCTTCAATAATTTTTATTTTCAAAGTTTGTCTGGACTACCGCTCTTATACCGCTAATGCAATTTAATGAAACTTTACAGGATTGATCAGTAGCTAAAGTTCTTGTGCATATTACACAAGTTTTCAGGTTGAATGATTTTTGGTCAAGTTATGACCCTTGAATAAAAACATGTTTTGCCCTGTTAATGATTTTTGTGTCTCCTGCTACAAAGTAGCTGCAACATGCAATTGGATATCATGAGGTGACACATGTGATCACTGATCACTCTTGTCTTATTAACAATCCTTAATCCTATAGTTTTTCTCACAATTATCATTTATATCCTAGTTTTTCTGACAATCATCATTTATATCCTAGTTTTTCTGACAATCATCATTTATATCCTAGTTTTTCTGACAATCTGCATTTATATCCTAGTTTTTCTGACAATCTGCATTTATATCCAAAAAATTGAGTCTCCTCTCAGACTGTACAGAAAGTAGAAAGTTTCACAGATGTTAGTTCATTAAATTTGCCAGTTATACACTTCAAAAGTAGATTGCTGTTTTGTTTTTACAATCCTTAACAAAGTGCAGTTGGGGTAATCAGTGGTTGCCTTTGGTCTGCTAGGTCGTTTTGACATTTTCAAAGTCTCTATTTTTGTCTCCACTACTTTAGAATCCTGGAAATAGTGCTCTCACTAATTTTAATCCTTTTTTAACATCCCTTGCATGTAATCCGCTTTAAATTAGTTTTAAAATGTGAAAAAAAAATGTGAATGTTTAGCAACTGTTTAAAGTTTAGAACCAAAGTTTCAAAGTTTAATTCAGCATGCAAGGATTTCAGCTTCAAAATATCAATTGTGAATTTGCGAAATCAAAATAATGAATTTGTGAATTTGAAATCGTGAATTGACATCTTGAATTTGTGAATTAAGTTGAAATCGTGAATTCATGAAGTTGAATTCATGAAGATGAAATTGTGAAGATGAAGACTAAATTACTTGATTGTCATTTTCAAGATTTTTTTTCAATTATGATTGATATTTTGTGATCATATGTAAATTAGACCCCCCCCCCCCAAAAAAAAAAAAAAAAAAAAAAAAAAAGGTTGGGCTTTGACATTATTGTTAAATAAATGTGTAAATTTCCTAAGAATTCAATCAGATTCTGACTGATTTGTATAATAGATGTAATACATGATGATATTGATAATATGATGTGAAATTGACAGAAAAGACTCCTTCAAGGGTTTCCTCTTGACATTATAAGGTCAATATATATATATCAGATGATATGATCTATCTCTTCCAAGTTTCATTTATATAAGTTTCTAGAGTGTAGTACAAAAGCCCCCCCCCCCGGACGAAAGCCCCCCCCCCCATCTTAAAATGACAAGGTGGACAAAAGCCCCCCCCCATGAAATTTACACATAGGATAAAAGCCCCCCCCCCCATAAAAAAAGTAAAGGTAGGACAACCCCCCCCCCCCATGGTCCATCAAATTTTCAAATTTACATATAGTGTAAATAAATTAATAAAATGAAAAGAATTTGTTTTAATGTTTATTTATAATGTATATATTGAAGTGATAACAAAGTATATGATAACAGATGAAATAATGCATGCATGCGATACTGAATTTATAGCTTTTCATATACACAACAAGCGTCAGAAGAGTAGTTATGTTTAATCACTCTTGTAAAGGGATCAAATTAATATCCTTAGCACTATGTCACCTACATGTGATGTCCATACATATTTATTGAAAAAAACATACATATACAAATATATGTTTTCTATTTGTTAATTAGATATATATTACAAAATAACCAAATTAATTGAAAAAAGGCAGATATTTATTCATTTACACTATATGTTAATTTGATGGACCATGGGGGGGCTTTTGTCCTACCTTTACTTTTTTATGGGGGGGGGCTTTTGTCCTATGTGTAAATTTCATGGGGGGCTTTTGTCCACCTTGTCATTTTTAGATGGGGGGGGGGGGGCTTTGTCCGTATCCCAAGTTTCTATGTTTTAAACAAAATAACACTCAAATTTGCTCTAAGGCTGATAAAAAGATAAAAAGTATGGTAGGTAATTTAATTCAATACACTTATATCATAATATGATAATATCTGTCTCCTAGGTAAAGAAATATTTCTTTTATATATATAAATTGTACCATTGACTTGTTCATATACTTTAATTTGTCAGTTGTTTTTTACAAATGAGAGATGTCAGAAAGTAAACTAGTTGTGTATATAATGTGATCATTAAAGTAGGGGAAAAGACAAACCTAGATAGGGAGGGCTGCCAGAAAGTGAATGTATCATTTTAACAATGGAGCCTGGGGGAAATAGGCGGATAGCTCTGTATGTTGCTGTTTAATTAATTATACATGTTGGGACACTTACATTTTTGCACACTGTAATCATCTGCCATAGTGTAGCTGTATTTGTGAAGAGGTTTTTATTTCGGAAGTGAAAATTAACTGGGATTTAAAGAAAACCTACACTGTGAGAAAGTTTACTATATCCTTGTGTACAATGTAATTGTTTTTGATATAAATAAGATGGTGTGCTGGGTTTATGTTTGATTTATTTAAATCATGAGATCATTAGAAACAATTGCCAGCTGTTTCTCTACTTCAAAGGATTATTGTGCATGCTTGTGAATACTGGTATTCATTTAAATACACTGTGTTTATTTTTCTCACTATTCTCTCAAATTCTACAGTAAGGTGAAGTGGTTGTAAAAGGCGTACAAGCAGTTAGTGTTGTTTTGAAAATCTACAATTGTCTGTTTCTTTTATCTTATAGGGAGTTAAAGAGAGATTTTAAAAGGCAAGTTCAAGTGTGATCATTTCACATGGATTATAGTAATAAAGGCAGATTTTAAGAAATGAACTAAAATCTTGAGATTCTTTTAACTTTTAAATGCGTTTTGTTACAACTGGATTATCAGTGAAGTTAAAAGGTGAAAGTTTAATTTTGAAAGTTAATTTTGTATTATCTTTTTCACAGTAGTCGTATATATATCAAAGGAAATTTGTATTTGTTTATTTCCTCTATTCCTGTAATGTATACATTTGATATTTGTCATTGATTAACTTGTTCAAAGTTACTATATTTGAACATGAACTTTAGGAAAAGTTTTATGCTCCTAGTGGCTTGAAGTTATTTTTATTGCAATTTGTTGACTGCAGCCATTGTTGTAAAACTTTATGACCGAAAACTTTCATTTCTAGGTTATGCGATCAATTTCCAACTTTTAATGTGTTAGAAATATTTTGGCTTCAGTTATACAGTTTATGATACAATAAAAAAAGGTTTAGATTGCCTCTTTATGTTAAAATATATATGCTTCCGTTAACATTATTGCCATCAAATACAAACTGGTTTTGATTTCTAATACATTGTCAATATTTGATTAGTGTTTGCTGGGCAGTCGATAATTATGTGTTAGGTCGGCGTAAATATGACTGGTGCTATGTTTGATGTTCTAGCTTCAAATATAGGTCAAAATTCTTCCAATTTCCACCATGATGTACCAGTTCTTTTTATCAATTTGACTGTTAATGTGTTAAATGTCCAATAGCTTATTTTAGAATTAATTTACGTGTTTCCGTGCCTACAAAATATCTATATTAGGCATGAAAGTATTTGGCTTTTTCTTTGTATAATGCATATATTTTATTAACGAATTGACCATCGAAAGATTCCCTTTATTAGAATATTGATATAAAATATAAACATTATTGATATGCCATAAACTTTACTATTAATAGGCATTCATTGGATTTATTTGACAAGTATTGTTCTAATGGTGATGACTTTGGGTTAATATTTGTTAGTTTATGATGTGACTAATAACAAGTTCATAATGGCATATAACCAATTCTTTCATACAAAATGGAGACTTTAAGACTATGAAAAAATGTAGTTTTATGAATGAGTGCAAACAATCAGGGTCATTAAGATGAAAATCTCTGTTCATTTTAACGATAATAGCCTGTATGCCACAAGTGATATTTTAGGTAATTGAATGTTTCGGACATTTTGCCGAGTTTATCTTGACAGGTGATTACCACTTCAACTTTCGATCATAGTGGGAAGCATTTTCACTTACTTAACAAATCCAGTTCATAAATACGATGGTGAATATTTACTGGTGTGTAACATTTATATTAAAGTTATTTACATGTAATTTGCATAGGCGGATGGGATTGTTAGAAATTTCAATGTAAACCAGTTACGTTAAATAGATAGTAGATTTGATACTACTTAAATAGCAGAGCAGGATTATCTGGTTAAGGATTAGTTTAAGGAAAATATTGGGCGAGCAATCAAGAAATTTACCATATACCTATTTAAACAAGGTTAGACAAGTGTGTATGTTCATTGAACAAAAGTGGTCAGTATTAAGTACCGGATTGTTATTAAAAGGAGAGATATAACATACCTGTATCAAGTGGGCTTAAACATTAGAATGAGAGGAACATTGTATATGTAAAAAGTGATGGATTTATTACAAGTGTTTTGATGATCGAACTTTATTAGGTAAATGTTATATGAAAAGGAGATTTACAGTTTGTGCCATTCTTTCTTTGTTTACATTTTTCTAAACGCTTTTGTAGGGAATAAGTATTCTAGTATTATTACAGTGCTACAAAAGTCAAGTATGTTTATCAGTTTGGATTATCATTGTTTATTTGTTTGAAGTACAGTAATACAATATTTATGTATCGGTATATGATATGGGTTACTTATTATTAGACAATTTTCTGGTAAGTATGTTTACTGTCATTCATAAAAAGTTGCTTTTATTGAATATTACAGAAAATAAAATTGTTTTTATAAGTGATCTCTATATCAAAAGAAAAATTTGAATCATCAATGTTATTAGGAGCTATGAAAAATTGACATTTCACACTAAGGTTTTAAATTACAGTCAGGTCTATTTAATGTTTGTTGTTTACAGATGAAAGGAATTCTTATTTCTTTGCAGTCTTTGTTCTAATTAAATGCAGTGGAAGTAATTAATGGTGCATAGAGTTTGTTAAATAATAGATAATTTAAACATGTATGTTTTGACTGGTTTTCTAAATTGTTTGATGTTAGTGTCTGTATGCATTTGGAGATCACCTGCAGGCCATGTCATTGTTAATTGATTATTCATAAGTTGTTGAAAGCATTCGCTGTTGATAATTAATTCCATTAGAACCACTGAACTGGAAGAGTAACAGCTTTATTAATGTTTGAAGTTTAAAAAGCAAAATGCATTGTAATGATAGAAATGTGAACATTTCGCTTGAATCTTCTTCTCTTCTTCCAATACTGTACATAACCCACTCTGGAGCATTGACGTACAGGGTGTATGTACAAAGTGTTGTGCGGCGAATAAGTGCAGATTTAAAAGAAGAACATGTTAAAAATAAAATCGACTCCGGCATATTAGGGCCCCATGACTAGTCCTCCCTTGAAGGCCTCAAGGTTGACTGCTGTGGCTAGGTGCTCTGGAAGCTGGTTCCACAGGCGGATGGCTGAAGGTACAAAGGAGAACTTCATGGTGTCTGTTCTGCAGAATGGGACATGGAATCTGTGTCCGTAGCCATGGCCACCAAGTGGCACAATTGGTCTTGTGTCGTCAGTTAACTGTTCAAGTTTATTGAGAGTCATTCTATACATGTACATAAGCAGGCATATTGAGGTTGATAATTTCAACATGTATTATTAATATGATTTCAGCAATAATTGCAAGAAGTGAAAAAATACAATTTACAAACACAGAAAATAATTGTGTATATGCTTGATTTTATATGATTTGAGATAGTTTGGAGCTAACGTCTGTACAATATTTGAAATGTCCTGAAGATAAATCACCACAAGCATGGTTAGTTTTAGAAAGCTTTGACAGTATTATCATCTTGTAATTTGTACATGCAGTTGACTAAAAATTGTCACGGCAATAGGCATTGCTTCAATTTAATTAAATGCCCTACAAAGTAGGTAAAGACAGACTGACCTAGGTTTGTCTGGTTATGGTCAATTACATTCCATGTTTACTAGGCCGCCAGGGGACTAATTGTAAATACATTGTATACTTTGGTCTAAACAAATGTCTTAAGATAGACTTAAGATTTGACATGGCCTCTGGTATTTGTTCAGTTTGATATCAAAAGTTTTAATAATTTGAATCAGGATTTATGCCCTTGTACATTTGTTATTAATATCTTGTGGATTTTAAATTATGGAAAGTCTGTCACTCTTCACAGTTCTCTGTGAATTGTTCATGGCTTTTAAAAACTAATTTGTTCAGAGGATTCGGTTAGAATTTATTAGCAATCAGTGAAAATTTTAAGATGTTTGTCAACATGACATCTGTGTATATTTGACTTGATGATTCATCAACTGACAGAATGAAATCAATTGCAGAAGTTGTTATATGTTGATTCATACATTCTGTATTGATTTTTATGACAGTTCTGTTTCTATGTAAATTTTAAAATTGCAGATGTTTGCATTTAAAATCTACAAATGCACAAAACTGTGAGACATACATGTTGGTTGATGTAATATAACAGTTATTTATGTCTTGATGATTTTTTGTAGGACAGGATATGTTTCAGAATAATTTGATCAAGTTAGATAATTTGCAAAATTTAGTTTTGTTAATCTATTATTTTTCTCTCTATTTATAGAAATTAATGCTGCCTGCCGACCCCTGATGCATGCTTAAAGATGGCTCATCTCGAGAAACTTTTTGTCCCACAGGGGCTTCCTGATAACCGCTATCACTCCCTTGATAGTCGAGTGACCTACAAAAGCGAAACAGCTACAGCAGAAATGAGAGAAACTAAAGAGATAAAATCAATGAAGAAAGACTTTCATCCAATAACAACAGAGATCCATGTAACAGAGCTTAGACCAATTAAACTTGACCCTTTAAATAAACAAGAATTAGCACAGGCACCTAAGAGTAATACTTGGGAAAGACGCCTTATGTCTGAGGGAGCTACTGTAGAAAATGGACATCGTGAAATGTTTAGGGAATCTCATACGGAAAATCGACGGGCACATTCCGCATCGTCTCAGAGAACAGAAAGAATGGAAATAAATGGTCAACCCGAGATGAGATCAAACATGATACGTACTGTGACCAGCAGAACGGGAACTTTCTCCGGGTCATCACCTGGTTCTTCACCAGGGGGAACATTGTCTCCTCGAGACAAAGTAGAGTTCAGGAGAAGAGGTGAGCTATGTTTGATGATGTTTTGTAATTTCAGTTTATTTTTTATTAAGATAAAAAAAAACAACAACAATTTCTTTTTTTGCATTTTTGCAAAATTTCATTTGGTAAAGCTCTGAATTTTATATTACATAATTATGAATTAATTAAGTCTCTAAAGTAATTTTTCATTAAAGTATGCACATTTTCTGTCAACACATGGTTTTCACCATGTAACAGTTAGCTTATAGTATTCATTGAACATGTTTATTGTAACAAATTTGTACCAGTTACTGAGTAGGTGAAAGTTTTACTTTCCCATTATCCTAATTTATTTACTAATCTTAGTCATTGTTTTCTTTGGCAATGTTTTTGTGGTCAGAATTTTTCATTATTTAAGCTACTTTGAAATTTGATCAACCTTGTTTGACACCAGAACATTTCAATTTCATGTGTGTTTTATGTGATATGTAAACAAAATGTAAGTCACACATGATGTGTTTGAATTAGTAGTATTTATTTGTACATGTCACTATGCACAAAAACTTAAAGGCATAGTAAATTTTATTTTAAGTGTATGAAGCTTAGCTCTATATGTGTGGTGTTAAGTTTGCAAAATTTTGATAAGAATAATTACAGAATACCTATATGAAAGAAATATGTTTGCATATTTCTTGCAAGCAAGTGGTCCATATTCATAATTAGTGCTGAACCGCTGAACATACTAAAATTAGGAGAGTAATATTTTGTTCCAAAATTAAAAGAGGTCATAACATGTTATAATTTTTAACCATATTTATTTAGAATTTACTCATGACAAATTTTTATTTTCAGATGTGAGTCCAACTTACTCAGAGAAACAACAGACTATTCAAATGATAGATGGGAAGTGTACATGTTGTCCGTATGGATATCATGTAGATGTTGATTTTATGAGCTACTGTGACACTCTTTCTAATCAGTCCTATCTGAAACAACTCAAACATATACAACGAGAAAAGCGAAAACTTAGGAAATCTATGGAAGTTTATCTGCAAGATCAGGAACAAACTGAAGGCCATTCTACAATGGTGAATCCAATGGAATCTCACCCATATTACCAAGAATCAACAACAAATAGATTGCTAGATGATATTGATAGTTCTGTGGGACAAACGCTGACATCTATTGAGACAATGATGGAGTCATCCAAAGGGTCGCAGATGTACAGTGATAGTGGTACTGCAACCATTCAACATAGAGAAAAACCGCAGAAATTTAACACATTCCCCAAGAAAACAGGAAGGCAGGTAGCCCAAGAGCTGCAATCTTACAATGAAACATTTACGGCAACATTTCATGACTCTGATCGACGGGATTCAAATAGTTCACTTTCCTCTATTTCGACTGTAGAGCTAGAGAGGATATATCCCCATAGCAAACAGCAACAAGGTTTTTTAACAACAGAAACAACAACAACAAAGTCGTCAAACATAACGTCCCAGCACTTGGCGGAGACAATGGCTGTTCATATGCCACATGAGGGCGGGGCTGCCTCAGCTTCTAACATGACCAATATAAGTAAAGAATCATTAAATGCAATAAGGGAAGCTATGTCTGTGAGTCTACAGAGAATGAAAGAACTTGAAGAACAGAATAAGGCTATTCCAGTGCTACAGGTTCGAATCTCTGTTCTGAAGGAAGAGAAAAGATTGTTAGGCTTGCAAATGCAAGCTCAGAAACATGTGAACACTGTTAGTAGAGGTGTTAATACTGATGCATTACCAGCCCCTCCATCACCTGTGTCACCACCTCCCACTCTTCCTAAACCTAAAGTAAGGATGGCAGCTGTGGGAGACCATGATGTCAATGAATCGTATCTTTTACAACCAGAACTAGAGTCAACACATGTGTATGAAAGAGAAACTGTTATAATTGATAGAGCTCAGCACCAGAGTTCACTTTTCAATCCTGATATGTCAAAGCCCCTTACAAGAACTGTAGGGGTTGGTGAGGGAAATGTTTTTGATGATAGCATGCATATTCATGAGAAAGAGTTAAGAACTGTGATAATTGGACAAAGTGATAGAACAGGAAAACGAAATGTTGGAATTGAGTGCCGACCTTCTACTCGCGATGTTGGCATATCATATAATTTTGATACTGTTGAAAAACCAAATATGCGTAGTGTAGGAATTACGACAGAAACAACAGCCCTTGTAACAAATGTTAGTTTTAGAAGTGAAGAGTTCACATCAGCTTTGAGAAATGCTCTTGCGAAAAATGTGCGAAGTGTAATGGTTCAAGTAGACAATAGACAAGAATCTAGAACTGTTGGTATTCAGTCAGCAATTTCTTCCTGGAATTTAAGGTCAATTGGTGTAGGTGACTGTAGTATTGATGTTGAAGTAAGGAATCCAGTTGCTAAACGATCAGTAAGCGTTGATGCTTTCCCAGATAGAATGAATCGATCTGTAAATACAGATTATGGTTGGCGACTTGATGCGTTTACTAATACAGTACCACAGTTTACTGAAAGTGAAACAACACAGACTGAAGATGTCAGGAAATATAATAGTGCAACAATGACAGAAAGAAATGCTCAGTTCAATGTTACTTGCCAGACAGACATGAAAATCTTTGCAGCTACAGATCAAGTTAAAAATTCTGGTACAAATACTGAGAAAGTTCTAACATATAACACTGGAATCAATACCACTCTGAAACCATTGATGGAGCGAGGCGTGAACACAATACATCATAAAGATACTAGAAACTATGGAGTTAATACAGTTGGGCCAGATGTTAGAAGCATGGGTACTGGTGATGGAATTATAGAAGAAGAAACACCAGAGGAAGAGTATCTGTTTGAAGAGGAAGGAGTGGAGACAAAGACAGTATATTTTACGACAATGCAAGACCAGGAAAAGACAAAAACTGACAAAGGTTATGAAAGAAAGCGGGAATATTCCGCACCCACTCTTAAAAGTAGTAGCAGTAGTAGCAGCAGCAGTGTGGAAACCAAAAGTGCTATTCAATCAAGTGACTTACAAAAATTGCAGAGACAAGATTCTTCATCCAGTTCAAAATCAGAAGATGACCAGCAAAATACAGAAGTATTTGAAGAAAAAGTATGGAGAACATCTGGAGATGGCCAGTTTACTGTTACCACAGTAACAACAACTAAAACATATGGTAAAGGGGATGCAGAAGGAACTGTTCAAACAGAGACTAAAACAGTTACTGGAGGTCCTGAAGTTCTAGGCTGTGATAGAGCCATAATTGAACAGGAAGTAGAGAAAGGTAGAACTAGTTCATCAATCACTGTTAGAAGCGGATCTCTCAGTGACCTTAACGAGTCATTTAATACTAGCCAACATTCATATGATTCTAGCTACAGAACATCAGGTTCTACTGGTGATTCTGTCTCTAAACAGTCATATGTATCAAGTCCTGCTGTAGCTCAAGGTAGTACAGCTATAGAACGTGTTCTTGGATCTGATGTAGCGGAAAAAGTAAGAAGGGAAAGAGAACTTCTTGATAAACAAGGAGCGTCATCGTCTAAGATTACATCAAGATATGTTTCTAGCATTGGTGGGCCTAATGAGATTACAGAATACTCGACAAGCTCCAGTGGTCCGGGTGTGGTAACAACAAGATATTCATCGAGCAGTGGTGGGTCCACTTCATCTGGTGGTCTATCTCTTAGATCAGAATTAGATCAGCTGGCAAATAATATACCAGACGGTGGTCTGTCTTCTTCTCAGTCTAGTGTATCATCTGTTTCGAGACAAACTAGAATTGTAAGAGAAGGTGACTCCTCGCCCACTGTTACCTCGACTGAAGAATTCTCCACATCTACAGATGGTTCATTACTAGATTCTGCGTTGGAATCTTTGACAGGGTCGTGGATGTCCGATTCTGGAAGTTCAACAGGAGCTTTAAAGTCCATCATGAAGAAGAGTTCTATCGACTCTGGAAGTCACCGTAGGGGAATAACATTTGCGGACACAGTTGTTGGAGGGTAAGTTGTTCACACAGACAGCTTGCTTTAGAAATAATGCAGCTTTTATATTGGTTATTCATTTTGGCATCAATCTTTTTTTTTCCTGTGAAAGAGTATGCATTGTGCTTTTAATGGATTTAGATGTTTTTACATTGTACATTTTAGTGTACTGACATAAAAATTGAAGACAAGTTGTCATTTAAGTGAGAAATTATTGAAACAGCCTCTTACCTGTATAATTATGGTGTTAAAATTTTAAACATTTACAATAGATTCTCACTGATGTGACAATCATTTGTATTTGCTCTAGGCAAAGAAAGTTTAAATCATGTCAGTAAAAGGTATTTTCGGAGGATAAAAACATCAAAAAGGGAGATATTTTATCTGCTACTGATCATGAGCTACAAAGCAGATGTATTACATATTTTACATATTTCAAGGGCTTTGTGTAATATTATGTAAACACACAGAAAAACAAGTGTTAGATAACATTTTTTTGGTCTCATTTCCATAAACTGACATCTTTCTAAATACTAGAAAGATTAATGTCCTTGTATTGTCCTATATAACAGGCTCCACATGATACCTGACATGTTTAAATGTCTAACAAAAGAGCTTAAGTATAACTCTTGAAAAATCATTTTATTTTCACATCTATTTCAATACAAGTATTTTAATAGTCACTCGGGCTTGTCAAAAATGAAGGGTTAAGATTTTTTACACCATATGTAAGACTGTATGTAGGTATTGTGTGATGATTTAAACAGATATTGTTGACAATTTGGTAATACTGTAGGCGTTATTTTTGCCTTGTATAAGATTACAACGTTTTGCTATGTAAACAATTTTGAGTTTCAAATAGAAATTGATCAGTCTTGGAACATACGATATCCTTACGAAAATGTAAAATGATTATAGTTTTCTAAATGATTGAATTGAAGAAGTAATGAATCTAATGATTCATTAGTAGTAAGCTTATTTAGGCGAAATACAGTGTTTTTATGGATTCTTTCGTTTTCCTTTTACTGTTAAATGAAAATCAAAAGTAAAACTGAATAAAAACAGAATAATACACACACACATGTACATGTTCCATGTCATGATAGAAAAACACAGATGAACTTTAACTTGATGGCTAATTTTGATATGAGATCATTTCATATATAAAAGGTATATTGTTTGTTCCAGGAGTGATTTAAATTTACATTTTGGATATGTATAGCTTTATAACTGCCTATCTACAGATAACACATGGGCAGGGTTATAGTTATTGTAGACTATTAAAGTTATTAATTTCTGGACACTCTGACTGCATTTTACTTTGTCTTTGTCTAGCACAAATTGTGATAAAATGATAGAAAACATTAAGTTATTGCCTATGTTCATGTTATCCTTATTAAAAGGTTCTTTTTGTTAGTCATGGTTTTATGTAAAGAATTTTTGACTGTAAAATTTGAAGACTTCATTATTTGATAGGATATTGAAGTATTTTTACATAAAGCTGCAGTTAAATGAGGCTAGTGTAACTGTTTAAACTTGAAGAATTTGTTAAGGCAGTGATTTTCAGTGAACCTGCAAGAGTGCTATGAAGAAAAATTACCTTTATGAATATTACAATGACTGGTCCATTTATGTTAAACGTTCGAAGACTTGTCATATTTGAGGCTTCTGTAAAATACCTTTCAGAATGTAACTTGTGTAAACATACAATATCAAAGTGCTATATGGTCAATAACTTACCTCGTGACTTGTCAATGTTTTGCCCTATTGAATATTAATATTTGAATAAAGGCTCAATGAAAAAGGACCATTATCTGTATCGGTGTGGAAAATCAAAACTGTAATGAGTTTTTAATGTAAGGAGAAATCCTACATCAGGATTACTTTATCAAAATATTTTATATTATAATATTACCATGCTCAAAAAATCCAATTTATTGGTTGATGGATCGGAATGAGTGGGGTACTTTACTATAGAAGGCCTTAAATTTGTGTTTACTTATTCAAATTTTAGCAACAGTCAGAGGTGCTTTTTTAAGGACAGGAAATGTTGTAAAATTCTTCTTTTTTGGAGGAAAAGTTTGAAAATAAAAGATAAAAAATGGCATTTACATTAATATAAATGTCTAATTTTTCTATTATATAGTAAATTGCAGTCAGTTATAACCCAGAATGCATGTTGTTTTCCACAGTTTTGTATCCACAAAGACAGTGTGACCCCCAGTGCTTACTTTCAGCAACAATTTATAATCATATTTTTCATCTTTCAAAATAAGCCAATTTATGCCAGTATATTGTAAATGTATTGTGGCAATTTCATTGTTTTGCTAATTTTGCTTCTTTTTATGCAATATATGAAGTAATATCATTTTTGATGCAAAATTGTGTAGAAAATATTTGCACATGTTTTCTGTCTCCACACATGGTGAAGGTTACATTCATTTTTAACATGTGAATACCACTCATCTTCCAAAATTCATCTGCCTTTGCTTCAGTATTTTGTGCTTTTTATACCATTTACAAATTTACAAGCTTTTGGTTATATTGTATATTCTATGTAATTTTAATATATTTATATGTCGTCCCTTGTTCGTCTTTTTTTTTCCTTAGTAGGTGTAACAGATTGTTGTGAATTTTGTATTTTTGTGAGTTTTCAAACATGTGTGGTTTTGTGGAATTTTAGTGAAACATGTGAGTGGGCGTTGAGGTTATGATTACACATACTGTGATTTATTGCACAGATATACAATGGTCGTGTCATTTGCATAAATGTGCAACTTTTATCAGTGTGCTTGACAGTGCGTAGGGCATCATTAGATAGATTAATAATGCTTGTTTAGATTATGCAAAGATAGCATTTTCTTATACTGATGTTTAAAGAGTGCAAAACTAAAGACAAGAGGAAATACAAAATATATTTGAGTGGATGTCCTTTGATAACAATCTGCAACCCCTAATCTAAGCACATTGCTTTGAATGTAGATAGTGCATATTTAATAAATGCGGTGATTTGCAATTTTTACGGGTAAATGGGTCTTTTTAAGCAACTTAGCATTTTAATACGCTATATTAATTTGCCAAAATTTTTCAAGTTAATAGTTATCTTCTTATCAAATATTTGCACTAAATAACACTCAAAGTACATATACATGTCCTTATCATTCCTTGACATGCACTCTTTTTAGCAAGGAAGTATGCATTGAAGAGCAGACGTTTATGGAATGTGTAAATAGTTTGTCCAAAAGGTGGAAAAAGTAGATGAAAAGGTCAAGGTTCTGTTGTTTTTTCTTTCCTTTATTTTTTTCCTGAAGTCCCCATATTGTAGACTAATTCGGATAGAGGCACTGAGTGAGTTGTTACTGCTGATAGCAATCTGTTACTGGGTCACACTGTCTTTTGGAAGTTTTTGCTGCTGCCAGTATGAGGAATGTTATTATAATGTAACAGCATGGAATCATGTATAATTTTGTCAGTGAAACTGATGATGAAGACGAGGAGGAAGTTGACTCTTCAAATGAGGAGGAGGAAAATGGTGGGGTGGAGAGTGGTTCAAGGGGGACAACTTCTGACAGTGATAGTAGTTATGATGAGGGTTGCTATGACAGCAGGGAGGGCAGCATTGTATATAAGTGTAAAGATGATGAAGCTATTGCTAATGGTGTTCCGGGAGCTCAAATGTTTGACCAGAATATTAGAGAAACGTGAGAATTACTATACTTGCATAGGCAGATCATTAGGTCTGGTACATTTACTACCTCAAATATAACTGTGAAATCTTAAACACACAAAACCACGTTTTTGGCATGCCGCAAGTTAGTTATGAATAATTTACAGAATGATCAAGTTCAGGTCCAGGTATCAGAATTCAAGTATTTAGTGTGTTGTTTGCATGAAGAATGTGTTTTATGATTTCACAGTTTACTATTTTATTTCCTCTATTCCATATATCATTTAAGCATACTCAGATTTCCCATATATTATTTATATTCAAGAGCTTATATAGATGTCATTGATATATATTTCAGCCCAGTAGCTTATTATGCCAGCAGTATCGTTTTTATGTTTGCACACACCATTATTTTCCTTTTATTTCAATACATTATCTGCCATGCTTGGCCTACATTTCTCACCGCTTTTCATTATAGAATATCATTGAGAAGGCTTACAGTAGTTATTATGTTATAAAGCTACATCATATTACATGTGCACATTGCATAACCTTAATTTACATCAAACAAGCTATCTGTAAAAGATGAGATTTATCATCAGTTAATGAAATGATTGAATTGACAACCGTGTCACTTCCTTAAGGCATTGATACCACAAGAAAAGAATTTGCATTTTAATTGCATTTCAGAAAAGAAATGCATCAAATACATGTACATGCATGCATTACTACTTCAAAAACTTATTGAAATTCTGTTATGTTTAAACGTGATTAAAGACAGATTTGTCACAGTGAAGCAGTCCTTAATTTTTATTGCACAGTAGCTGACAAAAAAAACAACAAAAACAAGAGGTAAAAAAAGAACATGTGAAACTAGTAGACAGGCAGATATGTTTCTTCATTTGAATTAGACAAAGCTTATACCTAATTTGAGTTGAAATATATGTTAAAAGCGTAAACTATTTTATTGCATGGTTTTTGCATGTTCATGTGAAAATAATGTCACCTATTGTTGTAACCTGCCCAGTACAAAAGTTTTTATTAAGAAGGAGGAGGTAGAGAATGAACAAAGTTAAGTTGTCAATCTTCAGTGGATAAAGATAAAACTGTTTAAATACACACAAAAAAAATTAAATATTTTTCTTTGTTATATTTGAAGATCAAAGCCAAGAAGGTAAATCTAGTATATCTGTTTAACATTATTGTATGTTGGTCAGAGATCTATGTTATAGGAACATAAAAGATAACTGTATCAATTTCAGTATATGTATTGATCTGTGTAAATGAACAGGCATTCAGCATTTTGAATGCATGCTACAGTTAGTGGCAGCATTTAGATCACTATAGATTGTTTGCATGTACACTTTTTAGAATACTATAAACAATAGAACTTACTTATATAGAATAAAATATTATGCATTTATGTGTGGAGAAGTTGTTGGTTTGGTGCTAGTCTTGTTTATGTTTATGCATACATTTTAAGGTATATAACTGTGTGCATGTTTTATTGAAAAAAGTCCTGAAATTTGCTTTAAATTTAAATCAAATTATAAACTGATAAAAGAAAATTTTAAAGGAAAATAAAAAAAAAAGTTTGTCAAACAAAATATTTTTTTTATTTCTTTTTTATTTATTTAAACACTGCATGTAATAAAACAATATTAAGAGTTTTTATATATGATCAAAGTTAAAACTAGAATAGTAAAATAGAAATGATTTTAATCATGTAGTTTATTGTTTGTTTAAAAACTTAAAAAACTGTTTGAAGTTTTTCTTAAACTACATATAAATAGCTTCTTTAAGTCAAAAGTTGAAAAGTAAAATCCGTCTTTTTTTGTTGTTTTTAGTTCAAAGAATGTGGAGGTCTTTCAACCTTTATTATGCATGACCTATATTAAAGTGTATGCAAACATTCATAAAGATATATTTTGGAGATAAAATGTTAAAATACTACATAAATTATACTGATATGTCATCCTGTAAAACTGTGTGATTATCAGGGCAAGATATTTAGTGTCAACTGAAGATAATAAAAAAGATCACTATGACATATAGCTCAGTTTTAATGACTAAAATTCAATTTACTCAAAGTATCAACTTCCCTCTTCATTGTATTTTACTTTACTTTTAAGGGTTTTTTTGCATAAAAAGGAAAATCTATTATTTTATTAGGGACTTCTGATTCTTTCATTTGAGGAAGCTATCCATGTAGCTTATGGAATGTTGGTGGTTCTACTAAGGTTATTTTTGTGCCTGAAATAATGCATATAGTGGCATCTGAGGTCTTCCTCCACCATTAAAACTGGAAAGTCGCCATATGACCTTTTACAGTTTGTGTGTGCTATGTAAAACCCAACAAAAAAAAATATTTTATTTTTACTCTGGCACATTAAACTGAAGCCAAAATAGTTAAATATACATGGACTTCAGTTCTTGATACTAAGATACTGATGTTGTTAACTTCGTATAATGAACATGATTTGAATTTGGAACGTAACTTCATCAGGTTCTAAAATTAAAGCTTCTAACCATATATGGCGTGATCAGACTGCTAGGATGTGCCTGGCCCTATTCTACTAGAATTGGGCAGGTTGTTCATAATCTCTTGTGTTTCAAAACCTGTATTATGTAGATTAACCTAGTTTTCCTCAAAATTATATTTCTCCATTACAACAATACCAAGCATTTGTTTTATATTAGACTTACATCACTCTATCATGCTTATATTGTAATTCTCATCAAGCTCACATGATTTATAGCCTTCATAAATGTTATTTATAATGTTGATTCTTATGTTAACTTCTCAAGTTTTATGTTTATTGAAACTTGTTTATTGAGCAGTTTATTTAAACGTTTTGTTTTTGTTTTTAGTTTATTTGAGAATAGCAATGTTTCAACTTGTAAGAGATTATGTCTGTTACAGGTTTGAGCTGGATCCTGCAATGAAAGAAGCTTGTCAAACATTGGCCACCTACTTGGAGGATTCAACACTGGTTCAGACAAAACAACTGGTAATAATGCTAAAGTAACTTACTATTGATGTTATGTAATAGTCTTGTTGGAATTACTAGCCATTTTTAGCTCAACTATTTAAAGAACTATTTGAGCTATTGTATCACAAGGTGGTTAAGTCTTTTTGTGCAAGTTGGTATCTACAAAACTGCTGAAGGGAATTTGTTGAAACTTCAAACACTTAAGAGTATAATAGGAGGTCACTGTCCGAGGCCCATGATTCTTACATAGAGTTTTGGACTTGGAATATTCTACATTGTCCAGGCTCTTAATATGCACAAAGAATAGTTGAGCATGCTTTCATACAAACAGCTCTTGTTAGTTTCTTGGAATTCAGGTTTTTTTAAAAAAAAAAGGGAAACTGGGAAGCCAACTTTACAGTCCGTCAACTCATTATTGCAGGCTGGCCAGTCTCTACACTGGTTGTAAGTAAACTTGGCTCCTCATTCAAAGTCTTGGAGATGATGTTGTACTTATTTTGCTTGAATTAATTTATTATTTTGCAATTTTAAATGGAAAATACAATTTTTTTCTGTATGTATGCTCATATCATTTATTATGACATATTTGGAAGCTTTCAGTGTATGCCATTAAACATCTCTAATTTCTCCCCCATGAAACACTATAGGTATTAATGATTTGATGTGATTTGATATCAAAGGTATCTTGTTGAGAATGTTGCACAATACTATTCATATTCTGTCTCTTTATTTTGGTATTCCATATGTTAACATATCTATGCAAAAATGTGAAATGGTTATCTGATCTCTAAAGTTTTTATTAAAACTAAGACCTTGATGTTTCCTTAGAGGGCAGCTTCTTGAATATTTCTATTAAGTCTGTCTCATACAAGTTTAAGGTCACTGTTCATCAGCCATGTGTTTTTACTTATCTCTCTTGGGTAATAATTTATTATTTAATAAAGAAGTTTTGCTGATGGATTTCAATAGTGGTTCTTCTCAGGTGCTTATAATAGAATCTAAAATTATGCACAGAGGGGACTTTACTTTAGGTCTTCCTCCTTCAGTAAAGCTGAAATTTAGTGACCATTACAGTAAAAAAGGTTAACATATCATCACCTTAGTGCATTAACGGGTTATGTCCTTCTTAATTAATAGGAGTTAACCAGTTAATGCATTAAGTTGATGATATGGTAATTTTTCTATAGAGATCAAACATTTGCCTGTCACCTTCACCCATATTAAATCATGTAAAAACCATTCCTGGTATATTGATGACATTGAAATTTATTTGCAGTATAAACAGTTAAAGAAGGTATGTCTTGAAAGTCTTGTAATATCCTGCAGACTTTGGTAGTGAATTTATTAGAATATTTCTCCTCAACTTCTGTTTTTTGTTACAATTAATATTTCCGGGTTTAATCTTCACAGTGATTTGCTTAAGTTGTGAAACTGGCTGAATTCATCAATAGATTTAATGACCGTCTCTGGAAATATGGTAAATAGATAACAGTGTGGGTGTGCTGAAGGTAATGTGGCAGTTACGCCACTTCATTATTTTTATTTTATTATGTATACTTCACATGTGAATATAATGTGTTTTAGAAGGGTAGGATGTGGAAATGTGAGAGATTTTAGAAATATAGATCATTCATGTGTAAATTATTCATATTCATTATAGGTTTATTACTTTTCCTGGTTCTAAGGCAGGATAATTAAGGGCTGATAATTTATTGACTATATTATTATTTTTGTAAGATCATTGATGAATTCAGACATTGTCACAGCAGGCTTTGCATGTGACACACCCTATGTATTCTTCCAGATGTGGCATACAATCATTCTATTGCAGGATCTGATACATTCTTGTTCATGTTTGTAATTAGTTGTAGTGGTGACAATTTGCCATATTGTCTGTAGGCAGGTAATGTTTAATTAGTGTATTTAATGGTAATAAGTTGAAAATAATACGAAATTACAACAATTAAAATATATATATGTTATATGTATATATATAGTACTGTGGAACAACTATTAACTGTCAAACAATTATGTTAAAACATGTATGTAAAATGTTTATGTTACTGTAAATTCAGAAGTATTCATACAAGATTTATTTAGAAAATAGTTATTTTTAAAAAAGAATTGATATTTTTAAGTTAAGTTTGACAAAGTCTAGAAATAAATACAAATAGTTATATGGAAAATGAAAAAAGGCAATGCAAAATATCAGATGCATGAATAGTGATATAAAATCTTTTTTCAATATATTTAGCATCAATGAAATCATATGAATATATCTGCTTTTACAGTGTGTTTTCATAATCATGTCTATAATGTAATTGTATGTGAATTAACTGAATTGTCAATGTCAAATAAACAAATGTTTACTTAAATTCAGCATTTAGAGGAATTTTACCAAGAGTTTAAACCAGAAGAATCTGGATCTCAGTTGTTTTTAACAGGCTTTCAAATTAATGCTTTACTCTTCTTTCATTACTCACTTCTAAAATTCCAGTACCTTTGTTATTTTCTTAAAGTGATATAAAACTTGATTACATTAGGTCAGTCTTTGGAAGTTAATGTTGAGCTTCAGCTTTTTGTCACTGTCTAATGAACGTCAGATTTTTGCTATGTGATGTTATATAAATGCTGAAATTCTGCATGTGGTATGCTGGGGCTATGCTTGCAACAGTCAAACAGTGCACACATTTGTCCTTGTTACTTATTGTAAGGGATCATTACTGACTTAAAGAAAATAGCTTGCTTGATAATTTCTGAAGGAAGAAAGTTTGATATATGACTTGATATTTGTAGGTTGTATTGTTTAGTTTATACAGAATTTATGTTATTTCAATTGTGTAGAAAACTATAAGACACGCTCTTGAATCGGTTTCTTGAACCAATCCATACTGAATAATTTGTGTAAAAGTTCCTTGCTTGCCTCTGATGGGGTTTGAATCCATGTGACTGGCCATCCTTATATTACTAGTCCAACACGTAAACCATTTGACCATCAATGTTTGATTGTAGAGTACTTTCTGTGACAGAGTCATGTGAACCAGTATGTCTAAAGTCATTAATCTTGCACAATTTTATGTGGTATGAGTGTAGCAATTGGCAGCTACTTAATGAAATCAGGTTTAGCTATTGTACAAGGTCCAGAAACTGTTATAATTGATATACAAGCAGTTACACCAAATGGAAAAGCAGACTGTATTGAAATTATAAAGTCTTTTATAATTTTTAGCAGACATTTTTAGTTACTTTTTATACCAGTTTTGAAGAAACAGACACAAAACTTTTGTATTATGATTCAAACTAATGCAAATCATTAAAAAACAAGTGGGCACTATTAAAGCAAATCAGCACCAGTCAGTGTCATTACCCTGAACATTTCAAAATCACTCATATTCTATATCCCTCAAACTATTCACTGTTTATTTGTCTATCACGTTATGGGTAACAAATTGAATTTAATTGTCACTGTGTAAATATTTTCTAAAACATATCCTTCACTGTACGTTTAGAAACCTGGCACTGTTAATTACAGTTTTTCCCAATTTAGGATAGGAATATCAATTAGCTTATATAGAATCCTGATCACTGTACATTTAGATGAAAGGAGTCGGGTGTAGAATGCATGACTAGAGATAAAGAGTAGCTTGGACATGGGTGAAATAACAAAATGAGGGGATTTCGTTTCAGAATAACAGCCTTGAGATAATACAGAAGGAGTGGTTTAAGGTGTCGTCATCAAAGCTAGCCGACGCCCACCAGAATGAGGACTACTTGTCATGCTTTAATGAGATTTCAAAACGACTCCTTGAGTACATAGTAAACATGCAAGATTCAAATGTGAGTTATTGTTCTTCGGATATTAATATTAATTTATTACTTTAACAGTCAGGATCATTGTTATCTTTGAATTATAATTTTACATTTTGTTCTTTTTGAACTTAATGAGATTTTTAACCAGGTTTTCCGAAGGAAAAAACTGGTCATTAGATTGAGGTATGTCGGCGGGCGGACGGGCGGGCGGGCGTAAACAATTTCTTCTGTGCGCAACTCCTTCTACATTTCTCAACGGATTTTGACCAAACTTTCACAGAAGCTTTGTCATCAAGTGCCCTGGCGCATATTGTCAGGGTTTTGCGATTGGATAATATTTGACCTAATCATGGCCCTTTGTTTTTTTTCCTTATATAGAATATATAGTGAACAATTTCTTCTGTGCGCAACTCCTCCTACATTTCTCAACGGATTTTGACCAAACTTTCACAGAAGCTTTGTCATCAAGTGCCCTGGGGCATATTGTCGGGGTTTTGCGATTGAATAATATTTGACCTAATTATGGCCCTTTGTTTTTTTTCCTTATAAAGAATATATAGTGAACAATTTCTTCTGTGCGCAACTCCTCCTACATTTCTCCACGGATTTTGACCAAACTTTCACAGAACCTTTGTCATCAAGTGCCCTGGCGCATATTGTCGGGGTTTTGCGATTGGATAATATTTGACCTAATTATGGCCCTTTGTTTTTTTTCCTTATATAGAATATATAGTGAACATTTTCTTCTGTGCTGAACTCCCTCTACATTTCTAAACGGATTTTGACCAAACTTTCACAGAAACTTTGTCATCAAGTGCCCTGGTGCATGTTGTCAGGGTTTTGTGATTGGATAATATTTGACCTAATTATGGCCCTTTGTTTTTTTTCCTTATACAGAATATATAGTGAAAAATTTCTATCGTGTGCAACTTCTCCTACATTTCTCAACGGATTTTGACCAAACTTTCACAGAAGCTTTGTTATCAAGTGCCCTGGCACATATTGTCGGGGTTTTGTGATTGGATAATATTTGACCTAATTATGGCGCTTTGTTTTTTTCCTTATACAGAATTATCAATATATAGTGTACAAATTCTTCTGTGCTGAACTCATCCTACATTTCTCAACGTATTTTGTTCAAACTTTCACAGAAGCTTTGTCATCAAGTGCCCTGGCACATATTGTCGGGGTTTTGTGATTGGATAATTTTTGACCTAATTATGGCCCTTTGTTTTTTTTCCTTATACAGAATATATAGTGAACAATTTCTATCGTGCGCAACTTCTCCTACATTTCTCAACGGATTTTGACCAAACTTTCACAGAAGCTTTGTTATCAAATATATAGTGAACACTTCTTCAGTGGCAATTCCTCCTACATTATTCATGTTTTACATTGCACATAGTTACATTGTTTGTTGCTTGTATTTGTATTTCAAATACAACATATTTATCTACAATGGTGATAATTGAAAACCTGGTTTCATGGCATTGCCATGTTTCTTGTTTGTATATATGACTTGTGGCTATGGCTGTTAATATATTTATATTCCTGCTGGTAATGCAATGTATTGGTCAAGTTAATTTTGTGGTAAAGAATGCTTACTTTCAATTACCTGCCCCTCAACTTAAATTTTAACTTTGTATTGTGAGAAAGCCTTTCAACTGACAGGAAGATGGTCAGTGATTCTACTAAGGTGCATTGTGTGCCTAATTAACATATAGAGGGGCACCTTTTAGGGATTCTATTTCATTATAGCTAGGAAGGTTAAATGTAAATTTAATCATATATTTCTAAAAACTGGTGTTAAAATTTTGAAAAAAAAATTATTTTTCAGGGTAATACAGCTATTCATTATGCAGTATCTAATTGCAACTTTGACATAGTAAGTTTATTGTTGGATACTGGTGTATGTGACCTTAACAAGATGAACAAGGCAGGATATACAGCTGTTATCATGGCAACATTAGCTAGTGTACAGACACAGAGACAAGAGGAAGTTGTACAGAGACTTTTCTCTATGGGAAATGTTAACCAGAAAGCTTCCAAGGTAACATTACAACTTATTTTCTTTAAACCAGTTAGATTCCTAGGGAAGTCCTACAGCTTTTGGTTTGTGAGTCTACCATTGTTAATATGAGAATTTGGCAGATGATTATTTGGTTTATGACACTTATTCCTTTACTAATTCAAAGTGTTTGTTTGGAGTTCTTGCTTCTGGTATAGAATCTAAGAAAACTCTTTAGGTAATTGAAATACAGAACTTTGGGTACGTACAAACAGACAAACAAACAAACAAACAAACAAACAAACAGTGTTTGGATACTAGTCTGAAACAAAAATTTTTGTTTTTGAAATACTTTATATAATGCATGTTGGTAAATTATTCTTACATTGTTCAAAAGTAAGTAAAAAAAAAGATTCTTGTTTACTTAGCCAATTTCAATTATTTACTATGTATGAAATTAAGTTTTTGTTTCTCCCTTGATTCACTAGGATGGACAGACAGCTCTGATGTTTGCTGTAAGACAGGGTCGTACAGAGATGGTGAAGATGTTACTGGATACCGGAGCTGATACTAACATCCAGGATGATGAAGGGTCAACGGCCTTAATGTGCGCGGCCGAGCATGGTCATACTGAAATAGTCAAAATGCTCCTTAACACACCAGGTTGTGATGCTACTATTGCTGATAATGTAAGTCTACCTAGATGTTTCTCATGTATGCATGTGATTTTGAAATCAAATCTATGGTAAAATTAAAACCTGATTGGACAATCTAAATATGACAAATAGTTATAGATTTTCAAATAGGTAAAGCCATTGTTCTACATCTTGTTTTTGCATGCAATGACCTCTTAATTTGAAGATTATTTCTTCAGTAAGATTTAAATTGGTTTGATAAAAATTTGAAACCAATGTTTTGATATTACATTGTGCATAAAAAAAGAGTCCCAGTCACATTTTGTAAGATTTATGAGGGTCAGGAGTTTACAATATAGAGGATTGTCCTTTCAGTAAATCTACTCGATAGAATATCTGCATCTTGGCATTTTGTCTTCATTTTATTTTATCATTTGATTTTTTTACATCTAGTTTTGTTTAATTTGTAGACTTTTTTTGTCAAACATCTCTTTAATATATACATGAATGTATTATCATTTTCTCACATGTTGTCTGAAACCTTTGTAATGCCTGATTTTGTTTCCTTTTTAGACTATTATAATTTAATAGATGGTTTATTTTGATATCTACATAGTATATACATGTATATATATTGTCAGCAATAATGTGAATGACCTTTTAATGTGAAATACAAGATGTAATTATCTTCTTCCTAAATGAATTGATTCATAGGATGTTTATGAAATAAAATTTTGAAATAAACAGATATTTTAGGTTCAAATTTATCTTCTCACAAATTTTTTTCTGTTGAGACAATTAAAGGAATTATGTCCTATTTGGGGTTAAGGTTGTTGATTTCAAAAAGCTAGCCCCTCACTGCTGTGGGTTTGAATTCTGCCAATATTTTAGATTCTTTCATACTTTCAAACTACCAAGCTAGAATTATGAAATCTTGATGGTTATACTGAGGTGCCCAGTAGGGCGTGAAATAGTGCACTGAGGGGCACCTGAGGTCTTCCTTCACCAGTAAAGCTGGCAAGTCGCTGTATGACCTTAACCGTGCCACATAAAACCCAACGGAAAAAAAAAATGTCCTATTTGGTTATTTAGTATAGTGATTTAACAAGTCATTCACATGATAGTTGATACTATATATACATGTGCTATGTTGTTATATTGATGTTGTTATGTAGCATGTATACTGTTGTATGATGTAGGATAACAGTACGGCCCTCTCTATCGCCATGGACGCAGGACACAAGGACGCTGGTGTTCTACTTTATGCCCATGTTAACTTCGGTCCTGGACATTCACCTGTAAGTTAAAATCATATCACATGGATTTGTTTGGACACTTAGTAATAACTCTGATTATGATACAATTTGCACCTAGAGTAGGTCCAACATAAACATTAGATATAAAAACCCTATATATTTTTATAGATGCACATATAAATAGAGTTTTGTAAAATGGAAAGTAATTTATTTAAGTTATGGAAAGAGTTTTTTATTAAGTGCTTATGATTTTAATCGAAGATTAGAGTTAAAAAATGAAACTTAGCAACATCCTTTCACATGGCCACAAATATTCATAAATTTTTAAGGTCTTATTTTAATCACATGAGAACAAATGAGTCTTTTTCAGTTTCAGTATAAATCTAGATATTGTTACATTAAATGGTTATGAAATTAATGATTTATTTTGTAATGCGTTAAGTGCCTATACAACTTGAATAATACTGGAGTGAAATTACATACTTTAAGGCATGCTGGTTTTAAGTGGTTTATATAAATTACTATAAATTTAAGATGTCTTTACAGCATTCTACAATGTTTTGAACCAGACAGGTTAAGATATGATTTATATTTTCATCTTTATTATAAGATATGAAATCTTATACAACTATATGCCTGATAGTTAATTTGCTACATGTAACATATAATGTATATTCAGTGTTTATCTCTAGGGGGATTTAATATGTCAAATATAAAACATGCATGTATTATACAAGATGATGCTAGATCTATTGCTAGATTCTTGATGACATATTTTATTGCATAAGGTGTGATTCTATTGGGTTTTTTTATGAGTCATACAGCATTATGTACAGTGCAGTTTTAAAATGGATAGTAAAAATTTGGAAAAAAAACCAAAACAACAAAATATATATGGAATAATACTCTACACAAAAAATATGTTCCCATTGATTTCCTTGTAAAAGCTGGTTAAAAAAACGAATGTAAACACAAAGTCTTTGTTTTGCAGTATAACTTTGTGCCAAATTATATTTTATAACTATGGTTTTGTTTGCTTGATGTTTAAAAACCTCATGATAATGATAAGAGTAGTGTTTACTGATGAAAGTACAGATATTGTCAAAAATAATGAAATAGAAGAGTGGGAACAACACAATAGTATTATTGTTGCTTTAATCTGATGAAATAGGTAGCAAATGATTTGAAAACAATTCCTTACATTATCGAATGAGACAAGTCTCTATGAAATTTCTATGAAATTTTCTCATTTATCTTCTGGAAATAAGTTTTTTTCTTCTTCATATACCCATACTGAAAAGACAGAATCAGGATATTTCAAAATATTTCTCATGTTTTGTTATATTTGGAGCATGTTGTATAATTAAGTGATAATATTTTCGTTTTTTTATGAAATAACATTTAAAAACCCCTTTGTTATTATTTCTGGCAGTCTATTTAATGCTTTTAACAAATTACTGAATAACTACCAGAAAATTAATGGATAATTACTATTTTAGTTGAAATAATAACTTTAATTACATTAATCTACATGTAAATACTCTGTAATTACTGCATTGTTCTCTGTGTATTTATCATAATCAAACATATGTACAGTTTGTAATATATATATATCAAAGTTTATTCAAGAATTTGAACATCTATACTATATCTTATGGTATAGCTTATGTTCTTACATGACTGAATTATAACAGACTTATACTCTTTAAAACTTTCAGCATAGACTGCGAAAACATCGTTTTAAAGTAAAACAAAGGATATGAAAGGGGTTGGTGGTATTTAATTGTGATGCAAACTTGGTTGCAGCACCCTGCATTGGCTAGAGTCAGACCCGCAAATCATATTTCACACTATTTTCTTCTTATTTTTTTTCCTGTCTAAATTGCCAAAATGTTTGTTTTAGGAATGATGCTGCTGTTTTTTTGTGTTTATGCTTCGGAAGTCTAATTCTTGGACATATTTAAGGCCACTGCATATGTGAAAAAAAAAAATGTGATGAAAATTTTTTACTCTATGATAAAACAAGCTTATTATAATAATAAAGGAAACATTACTGTTTTCATGTATAAGAATAAGTCTGATTAATGTTTATTAGTAATGTCTTTTTTATATGTTCATGGTACGACTCTGTCTTCTGCGGGAAATAGTCTCTGATAAGTTGTTGTAAGATTTACATTATGTTGTCATTTAAGGTTTTGTTGGGCTTTTTGACTGTACAGGAAATGCTTATTTTGGTTGGAATGTCAATGACTTAGTGAATTCTTTCATACAAGGAAGCCTTGACCCAGCTAGCTTACAATGTCCAATGCTTTCAACAGTAGCCTCTTGCATGTAATATTGAACAGCTTCTGAACAGCATAACAGAATGTGACTGTTACAGTACAAATGTGACTTTAGTCAAAAACAGTGCTTATGGGTTACTGGCTTTTTACTCCTAATAATAAGCATTGAATGTCTCATTTCTGTTGTCAATGGTTAATTCTTAAATGACTTGTGTTGATTGTTACCATTTATGTTGCTTTGCATTTTGGCTATATCGAAATACTTAAATAAACTTTGGGAAAACTAAAACTGGCAACAAAATTATTTGCGTTTTACTTTTAAGAGGAATAGTGTGAAGTATTATCTTGTGTATAAACAGCCCCTAATTCCCAACCAGTGAAATATATATATATTCGGACCAACAGTGACACACCAATGGCACACCATAATTATTATATCCTGTTTATTCAGATACTGGAAGCCTTATTTAATCTGTTGCATTTAATTTTATGTCTAAGCATCAAAAACAATGTGTATTTTTTATGTTGATTTGTTGCACAGTTTTGTTTTGTTTGTTTTGAATTTTCTACACATTCAGTGTTATGATTTGCCTGTTGATGTTTTTTTGACACTTTATAATATTTACTATTACAATATACATGTAAATTCATTTTTATTAGTCAAATTTCAGAAGTGATTAATACTTTTTTTCTCACAAACTTTGAACAGAAATTAAATATTTATTGATATTTTCCCATGCATAATAGCTGTACATCTCCTTGCTTTTTCACCTATTTGATAGATTGTAGTAAAATAGAAGTTTTACCCTTTATTATTGGCGAGAGGAAGTCTGAAATCAAACTTGCACGATTTATAAAAGTATCTCTTAGTATATCACAATTATTATAAAATACCAACATTATCACAGTAACAGAAAAGATATAAATATGAATTAATTTGCTTCAGTAGTATATTTTATTTTAATTAACATAGTGAAATTTTAATGCAATGTGTCTGTTATGCATGTTTCCATGTTGTAACACTGTATTGTATATGCTACAGGCCCCAGGCCGGAAATCAAGGAAGACTTCAGGATCCTCTCCTTTAGCCAGGTACTATATTAGTTATAACTCTTTAATCATCTTCTCTGCCAGGAACTATATTAGTAACAACACTTTGGTCATTCTCTCTTTTTGCCAGGTACTATGTTAGTTATAACTCTTTAATCATTCTCTCTGCCTGGGTCTATATTAGTTATAACACTTAAATCAATTCCTCTCCTTTGGCCAGATACTATATTAGTTATAACTCTTTAATCATCCTCTCATTTAGCCAGGTACTATATTAGTTATAACTCTTGGATCATTCTCTCCTTTAGCCAGGTACTATATTAGTTATAACTCTTGGATCATTCTCTCCTTTAGCCAGGTTCTATATTAGTTATAACTCTTGGATCATCCTCTCCTTTAGCCAGGTACTATATTAGTTATAACTCTTTAATCATCCTCTCCTTGCCAGGTACTATATTAGTTATAACTCTTTAATCATCCTCTTTGCCAGGTACTATATTAGTTATAACTCTTTAATCATCCTCTCCTTCAGCCAGGTTCTGTATTAGTTAAACTCTTTAATTATCCTCTCTGCCAGGTACTGTATTAGTTATAACTCTTTAATCATCCTCTCTGCCAGGTACTATATTAGTTATACTTATTTAATCATCCTCTCTGCCAGGTACTATATTAGTTATAACTCTTTAATCATCCTCACTTTAAGCCAGGTACTACATTAGTTATAACTCTTTAATTACATTCTCAGCCAGGTACTATATTAGTTATAACTCTTTAACCATGCTCTCTTTTAGCCAGGTACTATATTAGTTATAACACTTTAATCATCCTCTCCTTTGGCCAGGAACTGTATTAGTTATAACTCTTTAATCATCCTCTCTGTCAGGTTCTATATTAGTTATAACTCTAATCATCCTTTCTGCGAGGAACTTCATTAGTTATAACTCTTTAATCATCCTCTCCTATAGCCAGGTACTATATTAGTTATAACTCTTTAAACATACTCTCCTTTAGCCAGGTACTATATTACATGTAGTTATAACTCTTGAATCATCCTCTCCTTTAGCCAGGTACTATATAAGTTATAACTCTTTAATCATCCTCTCCTTTAGCCAGGCACTATATTAGTTTAAACTCTTGAACCATCCTTTCCATAAGCCAGGTCTATATTAGTTATAACTCTTTAAACATCCTCTCTGTCAGGTACTATATTAGTTATAACTCTTGAATCATCCTCTCCTTTAGCCAGGTACTGTATTAGTTATAACTCTTTAATCATCCTCTCTGCCAGGTACTTCCCCACCAACTGGCATTGTCTGTAACCTTTTTAGCTCACCTGTCACAAAGTGACAGGGTGAGCTTTTGTGATCGCTTTTCGTCCGTCGTCCGTCCGGCGTCCGTCCGTAAACTTTTACTTTAAATGACATCTCCTCATAAACCATCAAGCCAATTTCATCCAAACTTCACAGGAATGTTCCTTTGGTGGTCACCAGGGGGTCATTGATTTTCCCTATATGCATATAGTAAAAAACTTTAAAAATCTTCTTTTAAAGAACCCAAAGAGCTAGAGCTAAGATATTCAGCATGAAACATCTTCTCATGAATGTCTACCAAGTTTGTTCAAATAAAAGCCCTGGGGTCAAAATTGGCCTCGCCCCAGGGGGTCATTGATTTTCCCTATATGCATATAGTAAAAACTTTAAAAAATCTTCTTTAAAAGAACTCAAAGAGCTAGAGCTTAGATATTTAGCATGAAACATGTTCTAATGGGTGTCTACCAAGTTTTTTCAAATAAAAGCCCTGGGGTCAAAATTGGCCCCGCCCTGGGGGTCATTGATTTTCCTTATATGTGTATAGCAAAAACTTAAAAAATCTTCTTTGAAAAAACCAAAATAGCTAGAGTTTAGATATTAAGCATGAAACATCTTCTAGTGAGTGTCTACAAAGTTTGTTCAAATAAAAGCCCTAGGGTCAAAATTGGCCCCGCCCCGGGGGTCATTGATTTTCCTTATATGTGTATAGCAAAAACTTAAAAATCTTCTTTGAAAAAACCCAAAAATTGCTACTTTTTAGATATTAAGCATGAAACATCTTCTACTAAGTGTCTTTACAAAGTTTGTTCAAATAAAAGCCCTGGGGTCAAAACTGGCCCCGCCCCAGGGTTGTCATTGTTTTTAACTATTTTGTTATAGTAAAAACTTAAAAAAATCTTCTTTTGAAAAACCCAATGAATTAGAGCCTTAGATGTTAAGCATGAAAACATCTTCTTATAGGTGTCTACCAAGTTTGTTCAAATAAAAGCCCTTTGGTTAAAATTAGCCCTGCCAGGGGTGGGGGAGGTCATTGTTTTTCATTATATATGTATAGTAAAAACTTAACATCATGAAACATCTTCTAATTGGTGTCTTCCAAGTTTGTTCAAATAAAAGCCCTTGAGTTTAAACTGGCCTTGCTCAGGGTAACTATATACAGGTGAGCCACCTCAGGGCCATCATGGCCCTCTTGTTTTCATTATTTTCTTTACACTTTTATAAATTCACCATGCTAGAAGATAGTTTTTCTTGGAAAAAGTTCAGAATAATTCTTGCCTAATATAACTACCTGTTTTCATTTCTCTGTTGCATTAAGTTCTGTATCACTTACCTTACTTGTTTCATCCTTGAAGTAGATTCTATATATTCTAGCTAGAAGATTTATTTTCAGGATATAACTGATATATTCGGTCATAAAATGAATTCATATTTTAGCTTACTCTTTGAAAAATACATAATGGCCCTTTCTTTGCATTCATTTTATCATTCCTTTGCCAACAGATGCTCATTATCATTCTGTATCTATCTAAAATCCTATGTTTCTCAGAACTCTTTTAGTGTGTTAGTTATTGGCCTTTTTTTCTCATCTTAACGGGAAAAGTTATTCTGTAATTTTCTTAATGTATTTTCTTGTGAACTGTCTTGATCTCTATTTCTTTGTCATGAAGCATGTCAAACATTAAATCATCATCTCTTAGCATGAGGCTTCTTGCCATGTACAAGTTGCTAGCATGTTTTAGTGACAGGGGTGTGTTTAGATGACATTCAAGACAAAAAGTCAAAAGTTCATATAATTCAGTATATACACAATAAATATTCATCCAACTCAGTTATATAAATTCTTGTACTTAATTATATTAGTCATCACATACTTTCAATAAAACAAAATTTCTTTTTATTTCATCCGGCACATGAAACATGTATCCCCCTTAATATGTTAAACTAAACAGAACATTTTCGATATCTGATAGAGATTACACACTAAAAGTATCCTGTCCATTGGTAACAACAATGCATAATGGGACAATTGGGGGAAACAAAATCTGGAACTTGAAATTCAACCTTATCTTATAACTGATGTTAAGAATTTGTGTGAATAAAGTTTGTCTGTAAAGGTTCTCTTAGATATACAATAGTAATCAACTTATATGAACACAAACAATGAAGATGATGCTTATTGTTTGACAATTTTGATACATAGAGTTTTATTATGATGTATTGGTAATTGAAACAATCTTAATATTTTTAACTGGTGTAAACCATAATGTAAGCAGAAAAAAAATATTGCAAAAGGTTAAGTACATAATATTACTAGTACATCATATACATTGTTGTCACAAAATGTGCATCATATACAATGCTATAGTGTTGTCACAAATATAGCTTCTGTATTCTGCTGGTATTTTTATTAAATAAAAAAAAGAAGAAAAATGATAGAAATAACAATCTCCCATCATTCAATTTTTGCATCATACATAGAAATTTTACAGCACTGTTTTAATAAGTGTTATTTTAACTTTGTATTATGAACTTTTACTATAGGCCTTGTTTTGTAAAATTGTCAGCTTGTTACAGTTTTATAACAAATCACAAGCACTTTATAAAATATGTATTTTTTTAGAAAATTTATACAGCTTTTTGTGTGCCTTATAAATAATAAAAAAATAATAAAAACACAGAAAGATGAAATTGATACATTCCACAAGTAATTACAATTCCATGGTTAAATTTATTTGTTGAAAAATTAGATTTTATTTTTTTTTCTTTTCTTTTAAAATTAAGATGCAAGAACTTTTATTGTTGACTTAAGAAGTGTTTTTTTATATAAGTCAATGAAACAAGTTATTGAACAGTGTGAAAATTTATGTTAAACTTACCTTACTTTTAACACTGTTTTATGTATGTTTTGAAACCATTTCTTCAGCACCATACACATAAGTTTTTTTTTCTATCTTGCCAAATGTGTGAGCTTTGTTTCTTCAGGTAATTGATTTGCAAACTAAATCTTTGCATGTATTTTTGATTATTTTTAATTCTTATTTACTTTTTATTTTATTATATGCTGAAACTAAAGTGTGTTACAAAATTTAGTTTAATCTTTTGTTAGGTTGTACTAACTGTTTTTAATGCAAATAGATTGTATTATTTGTAGAGACACCTGTATATCAGAGTACCTGTTGGAATCAAAAGTGCCACCAGGATAGAGCTTAGCCAACCTGCACTTCCATGCAGTCTGGCCAGGTTTGATAATGTTGGCAGACTAACTTGTAATTTTCACCTTGATATACCTAAAATTGATAATGGACAGTTCCAAAAATGAAAGCTGGACAAGTCCATTTAAAATATTTAGCATTGTAAGGGTTTAAAAAAGGTAAATAGAATGCTTGTAAACCAAATGTAGTATAGTATAGTATACCTTTATATTGCTTATATTTTTTTTTAAATAATACATTATTTTATAGCTAATGATAGTTATTATTTGATAATGAGTTATGTGTTCACATATAGAGTTTTGTTGCCACAGTTACAAGAAATGTTGCCAACTGATTCTATCTTAATTCTAAACTTTGAATGAGCAAGAAAAATTCTTCAAAATTAAATTGTCTACAATTTTCAATGTTAGACTTGCCATCCAGAAATTGTATATAAATATATATTTGCTGTTTCTAATCTATGGAAGTTTAATTTTACTTTTGGTCTTTTCAATGGCTAAGTCTTCATAATCAATACTGTGAGAAGCTAATTTTTGCACAAATTTACCAAAAGATATTATTTATTTGCTATTTATTTTATTGTATATACATATAATAAAAGTGTGTTTTATATAAAAATGCAAAAATTGTACATGTACTGCTGATTTTGTTTGAAATGTGTATAGCCATGTAACATAGAAAAAAAAGAAATCTTTTCAGTTGTAGTTATAGATTAGGTTAAATTAGATAACTTTGGGGTTATAAGAGAACATAAGATTTAGGCCAACTATTAGTTGAATGCTTAGAATTAATTCACATTTCTTTTTATCATTTTTTTTCTGGTTTTATGTACCAGTTCAATAGTGTTGCACATCGGCTATTTTTGGCCTACATTACTTTTTAGCTAAAATTTTTGAGTAAATAGCACAATTCATCACAGATGTAAATGGTAAAACCCCATCACATGTCGTTGTGATATTTAAATGGGAAAATGAAACCCAGATAGGTAAAATTAACCGATCATAATTCTAATAAAACAAGTCAGTCATTATATATGATATGCCTGGCCATTTTTCAAGGTGCTGATTATGTTGTTATTTTTAGTTTATGCATATATATACTTTGTATCATTCTTTTTAACATATGTATATACATTTTATATCACATTACTTAGCAACATATATCCATGTCATATTTTACTAGTTTATTTTACAAAATATCAGTAACCCTACCTGGAAGTAAGGGTTACATTGTTATGTTTATAGTCAGAACATTTTATAAGCTGGCTAAATAATTCCATTTTTCTGTTATTGTTCAATTTATGATTGTTATTTTAGTAAGTTTTTTGGGGAAAAGAATTGAAACCAATTTGTTCTTTTTGTTAAATCAGTTATTCTTGTAAAAAAAATACAGAAAAAAAAAATCAAATTTTGACACATTTCTGTTGGTATGAAAAGTATGGGTAAAATTTTAAGAAGAAAAAAAACTACTATATATACATATATAGCCGGCACCATTTCATGTCAGTATATTGCTTTACTATATCATATTGGTATGTTTAAAAGTTTTATGGTATAAATATAGACTTATGCTTACTTATATGGGTATATTTGGTTGTAAGCCCATCATTACCAATTATAGGTCAAGTCAATATTAAATTACTAGCTGGTATCCATGAATAATCTGCTTTTGACTAAAAGTTCACATCTGTTTGGAACATATAAAAAGGTTAGTGAAATATCAAAGACAAGAGTTGTGATAAACATAGTTTACAGGATCCCAGTGCCTTTTTTTATTTTTATGCAGTGTTGTCTCATAATAGGCAAAAGGTTGTCAAACTTTACACATTTGACTTTGAAATGAAGCAGTGTCTTCAAAGGGTGATATATTAATGTCTTATCTTAAAGAAATGTTATCAAATGGGCATGTCAAATTTTGAAGATTTGTGATTTGCTTTTAGTGTAAGAAATGATGTTATAGACAAAGCAAATAAAATTCAAAAATGATATTTGAATGTGTTTTTCAACTAAAATGAACGGAAGAATAATTGACCTGCAGAATTAAAAGAAAGATGTGTTAGATTAAAGTCATTACTATTAGAGTAATGTAAGCTAAGCTCACACTTGATTTTGCAGCATGAATGTCAGGTCTAGTTTGTCATTATCTCACACCACTGTATTCAATGTTGCTGACATGTCTGATTATTTTATGATTATGTATTGTTACAATAAACAATGTGAACCAAAAACAGAGTTTGTCATGTTCTTCAACTAAAATTATGTTATGTTATGTAAACTGAAAACAAGAATTTGTCATGTTTAAAATGTAGTCTTTGCACATACTTAGTAACTGAAGATGGTGCCTTAATTTGACTAGTTTCTTAAAGGAACTCCACTGAGGTTCAAAAGCCTAAAAAGACAAAATTTAAATTTCTTACAAAGATCAGCAACAAAAAGGTATGCAAAAGATAATTAAGAAATATACTCTGAAATATATTGATAGTTGAAATTTGTGCTACTGTTCGCCCGATTGAAGTGAAAAGTGTAGCACTTCTTTTCAATTTTTTGGTGTTTTCAATAATAATTCTGGAAAAACAAAGGGAGTGATTGATCTGAAATTTGCACGCAAGTTATTGGTCTTGATCTACATCAAATTGAACATTATTCTTAGAATTATTTTCATATTTGTAATGTCGAAAACCTCAGTGGAGTCCCTTTAAGGTTATCACAGTCAATGGAATTCTTGGAAAGATGAATACTACTGTCAGAGGAAACACATGTAGAAAATTTGCTGGAGGTCATTTGTTCTACTTAAATGCAGGTTTACGCCTACAATAATGCATGAAAAACATGCTGGAAAGTTGCCACATGATAAATAAATAAAAATTTAACAATGGTTAAAAAAGAACATGTAACAAATTCAAGATTATTTAGAATTCTGAATATTAAATTATCATATTTCTTTTGAGAAGTTCATTCATGGGTGCCAAGCCCTTGCAATAGAAAGTAAAAAGTTTCATAGTGTCATAATTTTTGTTGTGTTCTAGTGTCTGTAGACACACAGAGTCATGGTGGTATCGGTAATTAATAATGAGGTGCTCTTGCTGTCAATTTATACACAAATGAATTTGTGACTACGAAATAAAGCATCATTGTTCATTATTAATGAAAAATTTGTACACAATTCACATGAAATTAAACTTCATATAGGCCTTCATCTCTATAATGTAGACTCTATAATATAGAGCATATTAGTAGCATAGTTTGAACAACAGTAACTCCCAGAAGGGCAATGTGAATGTTCTTTAGGTAGATCACATTTCGATTAGGTTAGAAAAGTGCACCAGCTTTTTATGGAAATCACATTTTCTAATTCACAAGTAAACACTGTTAGGTTATAACATTAACAAAAGTTGCAATGGGTATATTAAGTAAGTGTCAAGAGGTGTGGATTTTCTCATAAACATAAGGATAAAGGATAACTTGGTTTAAAGAAATCGCACTGTTCTTCAGTCAGAAGACAAATGGGATTATATTCTTTAGATGTAGGACTATCAGATTTATGGATCTTGAAAAGATTATGACAAATGTTTAAAGCAAATCCATAAAATATAATGAAATTTAGTGCCACAGAAGTAAATCTAGACATGTATGTAAATACGACTGGAAGAAACATTTCAGATTTGAAGTAAAGTAATTGAAAAAGCAACAAGTCGTTATCAAATCCATTGTTGAATACCCACGGCCAAACCATTATGTTACTAGTATGTTACATGTTAATCAGCAATGAATCAAATCATAACAATAAAAGTTGTTGAAATATTGGCAACGCATAGAACTTTTCATATGATTATTTTGTAGGTGATTAAGAACAACCTTTTCTATTTGGAAACAAATCTATCCTTGTTAAAGAACATGAACGTGTAAAACTTAACAGTGTTAATTTTGTTACTAAATAGAAACTGGACAATGATGGCTGGGAGGGATTGTAAGCTAGTTCTACATATATATAAACTACATTATTCAAAAAGTAATGTACACCTGGCAAAAACTACACACCCACTTGTTGAATCATCCTTTGAAAAAATCAACACCACCAAAATGATATAAAGTACGGATGCAATGGAGTTATCATGATTAATTTATGTATTTGAATGAGAAAGATATGTCAAATGTCAAAATTCCCATTGCAAAAATATGGTTTTTCAAAAGTCCAAGTAATATTACTAAGCATTTATCCAGACTTTGAACCATATCAAATAATTCAAGTACAAAAACATTAAGTACATTCTAGAGCTAGTTCAACAATTCGCCTAAAGGTCATGAGGAAATTTGACATTTGTATCAACAAGCAAAAATGATGCACTTTTATTTGATCATTAGTTTCTTAACCCTCTCCAAGCTGGAACTGACATTGATAAACCTTAGTAACCAGTATAAAGTTAGGACAGCCAGCACATCTGTACAGACTGGATTTATATGTTTGAATGACCAACTTCTAATTTTCATGTCAACTTCCCAAAATTGATAATGGACAGTTCCAAAACAGCAACTAGACAAGTCCACCTATGAAATTCAACAGATTAATGGTTATGCAGCTTTAAACACCTCATACAATTGACAAACTTTAGTTCCTGTAAAAATTTTACAAATTATTACTATCATATATCAATTGTTAACTTTTTCTTTGTGTTTATATTCATTTCATAACACTCAATATTTTACACATAATTGATGAATGTTAGTTTTCAACACTGTTTTTCTAAAAAATAAAAGTATTAGAAGAGTTTTATACAGATTTCTGGTCTTTGCACTAGAAATCTTGTAGACAGACTTACCAATGTTTCAAAGATGTCATAACACACCAGAGATAGAAAACAACTATAGGTAATTATCTATGAACATTTATTTGGCAGATCTAGGTAAATCTGGTGCACATAAAGCATGTTTATATAAACAGATAATTGCACTAAAAGCATATGGATGAATGCAGTATCACAGAGTTTAAATGAGGACGGAATAATTACAATCTTTGTAATAATACAATTGTAATAAAACAACATATATCCAGACAAACTACCTCACAACAACAATGCTGTATTAAATAAACTAATTACGTCTGGGTTTGAGGCAACTAAATGTTTTTACATTTCAAGAAACTTTTTAATTTTACATTTCATAGAATAATAAAATGAAAACTCAAGCTTTTACATTAAAATAAAATATTTAATAGAGTCCTAGAAAAATACATCAGAAACAAAAATAAATGTTTACATGTATCTCTGTACAATGTAAATGACATCATGAGGTTGGGTTAATTTTGTGACAATATAATTACATTTATGTATTTATTAAGTGCAAGAGGTGAAAATAATTTAATCTATGTGAACTGTTGTGCTGCCTCATGGTAAAAGAAATTTAACTAGAAAATAAATGTATACAAAAATAAAAATAAATGTATGAAGAAAAAAAGACCAATGTGAACAAAATATTTCTGTATACATGTTATTCAAATGGGTGGTCCTTGTGTGGTTCTAATTGTTTTCCAGCAAATTGTAATAAGATTAAATACTCACTTTCATTAATATATTTCACTGGTACTTATTGTTGCATTTTTACTTTAGAGTAAACATGGCGTGATCAGTGAGAATAACATGTGGGTCAATCTGCCATGTTTCAGGTTGTGCTTGGTATGCAAATTAACATATATTTGGATTACCAACAGTGTTTGTGGGGACACTGTAATAGCAAGGGACTATCATATGATATAACATGTATTAATGTGCCCTCAATTATATATAAACAATACAGTTTTCTATCAAACATTTATGACAAAGAACACTTTTCTATGCAATAAAATAAAATGAGGTACATTATATATGAATAATCATTTAAATGAATCTTCTAATATTGTCATTGTTCAATGTTATAAAAAGCTGATCTATTATATTTATACAATGTTTATTGCATATTTTATGTAAGTGCAGATATATTTGGAAGACATTGTTTCAACACCATCTCTTTTTCTCTGAATCACAAGTCAAGAGGTCAAAATGTGTGCCTGACATCAGTATTATTGTGACCTTGACCTCAGTGTCTTCTTGACCTTGACTTCCCACTTCTGTCTGTAACAAGTACTCCATCTTCATCATATCCAAGCATTCTCCGTAACTTTAATATCTCTGTTTTATACCTATATGAGAATATTAAAATAGTATACACATTTCCATTTATACATATTTACCAATACATGTATTTTATACAAAATCAAATATCATAATCTTCTTCTTTGTAAGATTATGAAATTACACTAAACATGTATATAATATGCCAGAGATTTAGAGATATGATCTCAGACAGAAAAATAATATTCAAGTTTTAAATTAATACTATTATTTGGCAAATTTTCAGCTATAATTAACTTCTTTAGTTCTAAAGACACCTCTATGCACAGGCTCGTTGAAGAAAAAACAACAACAACAAAAAACTATCTTCTGTTAACTAATGGTATATTTTATCACCTCTTTACTAAAACTGTTCTTTAATTAAAAAATTCAGACTGAAGTAAATAAGGGTTCATAGAAGCACACACAGACAGAGTGATTAGTTGAATAATAAAACATGTTGTAATTTTGTCCTTACTTTCCTAGATGGTTGTCTATATAGTCCTGGCTTTCCTTTAATTGTTCCTTCAGCACCTCGTTTTCACTCAGTAATTTTGTCCGTTCATCTTCAAGCTGACGTTGAGTGTTTAATGTGAACTCTCTCAGCTTCTTCCGTAACTGTGCCCAAGTTTCTGGAGGTTTTTCCCCAGGTCTGACAAAAAGACAATCATTGATTAGTATGACAAATTAAATAAAATTTATTTTGAATCTTTGATCCATATTGCTTTAAAAAGACTAGTGTTGTGTTTTTAAAAAAAACAACAACTCAGAATTCATTTTATAACATTCCCCTCCCCCATACATTTATGAAAATCGTGCAGTTGATGTTTAGATCTTGTTATTGCGAATGATTCATTTTTTTTTTTAATCTACTCACCTTAATGTCAGTTCTTTATAGTCATCTGTGAATCCATACTGAAAATATTAAATGAAAATAAATATAAATATAAAGTTTCTTCAGCATTCTATTGACATAGAAACATATTGGCAGTATTCATGATCATAATTTTGGTGTTTTACATAGATTGAAGGTAAGTGCTTCAAATTGTATTAACCAGTAAACATGACTGAGTTGTCTCCCATACCACAAATAATTCTAGTAAAAATATTTCCTCATAAAAAGGCGACTATCAAGGTTAGTTCACCAAAGATTTCTTTTATTTCTAATCACTGATTTAGTATTAAAAAGCTAGTAATTGAATATACAGTAATGGATTAAATCTTGCAGTGTTTACAATGCCAGGGTATTACTTTATTGGACTCCTTACTAGCTGTATATATATACATTTAAGAATTTTTGGAGCTCTGTGCATTCATATTAAAAACAGAAACTAATTTATAATATTATATTCCAGAAGAAATTAAAGGTTGTCAACTGAGGTCGAAAAGCCTTAAAACATAAAATTTGAAATCTTTACAAAGATTAAGTGAAACACTTAAAAATGGAAAAATCTATAAAAGAAAGATACCTAAAATTAAATTGAAAACTGGATTCATAGCAAATTTGAGTGAAAAGTGTTACAATGCTTTTCATTTTTGGGCCATTTGCACAATAAAAATCTATATACTGGAAAAACTGGGTGAGTGAATGAGCTGTTAATTTGCACAAAAGTTATTGGTCAGAACCAACTTCAAATGGTTCACAAATCTTGGAAAAATATCCGGTCCTGTCATGTCAAAAAACCTCAGTGGAGTTCCTTTAATGTTTAACCAAAGAATAACATTAGAAGACTATTGAAATAAGATTAAATTAAGTTCCTATAAATTTTCAAAGAAAATATTTCTATATAACCATTAACTATCTAGAATCAAAGCACATGTAAATAGTATTCATTTACTTTATTTTTTATGGAGTTAAGTTGGTCCCTCAGATCATCTCTCTCAGACTTTAGTCTATTAATTTCTTTCAGATGGTTAGTTGTGATGTCAGAGTCAGACATATTTAGTTTGTTTTCATCTGGGCCAAGATCTACTGGATCCATTCCTCTCTGTTCACATGTTAGCCTCAAGTTTCTACAATAATGATAAACAATTTAAAGAGTAGTGTTGACATTGTATTAAGCTGTCTCAATCCAAAGACCATGGCTTTGAGCCCTATTAGGTTCACCTTAATCCAGGAACCATGTATTCCAGCTCTTCTGGGGTCATTTCAATCCAGGAACCATGGATTTGAGCCCTATTGGGTCACTCAATAAAGGAACCATGGATTCGAGCCCTACTTGGGTCACAACTGTATTTCATATTACACCAGTACTGATTTGTTCCAGTAAGCAGACTCAAAGACGTTCAAATAAGCCACAATCCTTCTTAATACTAACTTTAAATGATAAACTAACATTTAAATCCAAGACTTTATGTAGTGGATGTTTCATGAACTGATATTTGGAACAGTTTATTGGTAATAAAAAAGTTAAACCATCAAAATTTAAAATTTAGCTGAATCACGTAACAGTATGATATATATAAGACTTGTTTGGCTCTATATGTATATTTGTAAAGAAACAATTTATCTTTTGTCAGTAAATATATTACAGCGTTTACTGTGTATAATTCCTACCTGTAAGCCACAAGTAGTTCCTCATATTTATGAGCAAACTTTCTCTTCTGTTCCCGATATTGTTGTGCAGCTTGACTGAGCTGGTCCTCACGATCTTTGTGTGACATTGTGATATCCTTCAACATGTTATCAACATATACCTTCATCTTCTTCTCACGTTTAGCATCGGGCACGCCTCCACCATTGTCCATATAGTCCTGTATGATAAAACAGTGTTGTGTTTTTAACTTTTTTAGTCATTACATAAAAATCATCAAGTAAAAGTACATCAAAAGGACTAGTAAAACATGATAAATGTAAACACAGCTGTATAAATATTCCCGAGAAATGCGTTTGAAATTATACAAATACAAAACACAAACTGACTGTGTGAATATTTGAGACAGTTTTTTCTCAGAATATCATACAAACTTTCCCCCTTTAGTTGTCTGAATTTATCTCCAGCTTCATGATATACAATAAGTGGGTATTTCCCAAACAAATGTTCCTGAGTCTGCACTTACCACGGTATATCAGTGACTACCAACATCTCTAAATAAATCACTTTAATCACCAGTTGTTACAGAGCGGAATGGCAGGGATAAATGATAATATTTACTTTACTCAAGACATAAACTCCTGAAAGTCCCTAATTTAGCAGAAAAGACAAAGCTTTTTGCATGAGATCTTTGTTCATTTTCAATCAGTTAGTTGTTAAGCATAATTATTTAGTAAAAAACAACTTCAGTTAAAGTTAGGTCCCAAAGATGATTTACCAATCAAGAAGATAAGATTCTACTAGAGAATTGTGACTTACAGAGATATCCTCAACATATTTGATGAGCCTCATTCTGAAATCTTCACCAAGATCCTTACATTTATGTTGTAACCTGTTTACTTGAACTTCAAGCTGTTCCTTGTCACTGCGGGCCATAATCAGTGCCTGAAAATAGTGTGTTATATTAACCCATAACCTTGTGGTGACAGATCCTATCCATGCAACCAGTGCAGACCAAGATAAACTAGCACATCTGTGCTGTGTCTAATCAAGGTTTGCATTATTTGCTTTTCAGTCAATAAATATTTTGATATTTTCATAAAATGATGATTGATGATTGAAAGCTGGAAAAGTCTATTTAAGATATTAAACATGGTATAAGGGCTTAATTTGTGAAAAAATTACAAAAAGAACAACAAGCCCAAAATAGCCAACATGTCTCTTATCTATTAAAGTCACAAAGAATAATTTTGATGAGATTGAAAGATCTATTTCATTCATGCCACATTTTCATCATACAGACAAACTTAGATCGCTCAAACTCGGGAGGCCTGTCCAAATCTTTTCGAGAAATTGGTAGTTCATACAAACTGAGGTAGACGCATTATCATGTACATGTATAATAGGACTGTATCTTACTTGTACTAAGGACATTGATGTGAACATTATTCAGGTTACATCAGTCAAATTTAAAATATGTCTACATAATTCTTTGTGAGTGCGCCTGTTTGTCTGCAATACCTCATTTCGTCTAATTATTGAGTATGCGCATATAACAAATTACTATAAATAGAACTTTCCCAGAAACAATCATTTTCCTGCTTTGACAACTTTAATTTTACAACTATTTCTTCTAATTTTTGTTTAAAAAACGGCTAATAAAATGCTAACTTACAGCATTGATTTCTGATATTTTGTGTTGTCTTTCTCTAGCCAGATTTCTAGCATCTTTGAGGTCTCTCTGCAGGTCAGCACTGTAAAATATTGTCATACAAACAATCATAAAACATATTCCAATTTTTATCTGTTATGATGAATAACAATAATAATGTACAGCAAGAACAATTATATGCTTTATGATCCAAATCACTTAATGGTGGTGGTGGTAATGGTAGTTCTTACTCCGGATCATGGCAGTAAGTCGCAATGAATTAACCAGAGCACAGTTCGGTCACTGTATCACAAAATGGTATCTTGACAATAATATTAATAAAAAATAAAGTAGTAAATAAAGTTAAAAAACGTTTATGTTATATGGTGTATTTTTTTTGAAGTGGTATTAAGAAATGACAATATACATATATATTTCTATGGTAATATTATAATATATTATGTACAATCACATAATAAAGAATTCATTTAAACTTAAAAGTTCAAAACAATTAGGTTTATATATGCATGCTAGCTTCTGACACTGTAATTAAATCTGTACATACACTTGCTGCGACATTTTCCCAGACTCGTCTCCATGTTCCCGGCGTAGTCTATCCAACTCACTTTCATATCTCTTCTTGTTGGCAAACAGCTGTAATAAATATTTATGTGTCATATGTAAATGTATTTTCTTATTTTTTGCACAAATTTACAAAGCAAATTTACATTGCATAATAAAATCATGCTCCTTAAACCTTTAAATAGGAAGCTGTTTCACATTTAGGGTGTCAGGATAAAAATATTACATTCCTAACACAATGAAACAATTTGTTTCTCCTGAAATGTTTTCTATAATTTGTAAGATCAGTGTATAAGATATTTAATCATTTTGGTTACATTTTTTGTTGTTTTGCAAATGCTTTTTACATGTTGTTTTGCAAATGCTTTTTACAACACCACATATCTGAAACAAAAATGGTTTGACTTCAAGCTTATGATGAAATCTATGAAATAAGAACCTACCTGAAGTTCATAGAGTTTTGCTATACTATTTTGAGCATTAATTGCAGGCAACATTTCTCCTTTATTACTTAACTTTACTTAACTTTCTATTATTCCTTTATTAAACCTCAACATTCCTTCATTTTTTTTATTTAAGTCACCACACATAAAACCAATTTATCAATACTTTGTTTTAAGTCACCACACATATTAATAAACAACTTTCTTTTATGACTATTTCTATTCTGCAATGACAACCCAGAACCTTTTTTACTTCCAGTGTCCCAACAGCTGATAATCAAGCTTCATTGTCTTATATTGTTATATACATGATTTAATGTGTTTGTCCTTTAGAAGCAGTCGCTACCTTTAAAACATATCATTCAAAAGCTTTCTTTTTGTAAAAGTAGTACATATACTAAGTTAATAGGTAATATTATTTGTTTATAATTGTTTGTATGTTTATTGAAGTGATCATGTGTATTAAAACAATAGGTTTAACTGGTCTGCTAGGTCTAGTGTAACCTGATATCACATTGTAGAAACATTACACATTCTTCACTTGTTTTACAATTAAACATTGTATATCAATTAAAAGTGACAATATGCCCAACCAAGGGTATATAGTGAGTGAACAGGTATAAGTTTACATTTTTGCCATAATACCTTTTAATTTAATAATTTACTTCCCATAAACAATAAATAATGCACAGATCAAAAAAAAAATTCTGTAAATATCTATTAGAGTTTACCTATAAAAAAGAGTGGGGCAGTCTTTTTATATTTTAGGCAGATTTAGAATTTTATCCTGCACATTTTCCAACTGTTTTATCAACTGCTGGTCAGACACCATTTTAACAGTCAATCTTTTGATATATAAAGTCAATTCAGGTCAACTTGACTATGATAATATGAGCATAATGTAATTTAAGATATGATCTATTTGGTAAAAGAATGTAACTTAATAAAAATCATTAGGATAACTGGTTAATATGTTCCAATATACTCTCATACTGTGAGTACGGGGCTCATTATTTGATAATTTAAAGACAAATAAAACTGGTAAATTCTAGTTTTTAAATAAAATTATTTCTCTATCATGATAAGATATTAATTTCACTGATTTTGAAACTAAGAAGATTTTGGAAAAAAAAATATGTTCCAACCTAAACCTTCCAAGACTAAAGAGGACTTACCGACTGCTCAATAGATTCCCTATCTCTCTGAGTACCAAGGATTTCATCTACCTTCACTTTACCCGAGGATTTTTGTATAACAATGGCCTTCACCCTGTCTATCTCTCTATCTGCCTCACCGGCGTTATAGCCGTCACCGTTGTTCAGTATGGCCACTTGTTTCATCAAGGCAGCTTTCGTGTTGACCAAGTTTAACAACTCAACACTCATCTCCTCATTTCTGTCTCTCTACACAACAAGTGAACACTTGTTATTAATGTATGTACATTTTACATATGAATAGTTTTAATGCCAGTTTATACAGAATTTATTTTAGTTTTAATGTGCAGGAAGCTAACTCGCTAATTGAACACAATCTCTCATCTGTTCCTAAAACTAACCAGTACAGACCAGAGTGTAAAGTTTCTTGCTCAAGAACCACAACTTGCCCATGATGGGGTTTGAACCCACATGGCCAGTGATCCTTAGATTAAGTACTACTCATGTGTCAACCACACGGCCAGTGATCCTTAGGTTAAGTACTACTCATGTGTCAACCACACGGCCAGTGATCCTTAGGTTAAGTGCTACTCATGTGTCAACCACACGGCCAGTGATCCTTAGGTTAAGTACTACTCATGTGTCAACCACACAGCCAGTGATCCTTAGGTTAAGTACTACTCATGCGTCAACCACACGGCCAGTGATCCTTAGGTTAAGTACTACTCATATGTTAACTACTTGGCCTTACCACCACAATGTTGGTAAAATGGTAAAATTCCTCAGGCAAATGGAACGTTTTCTTGAAGTCTAAGTACATCATAAATAATATCACTTGTACAGAAATAATGTAAGAATGTTTGTGCATGATTCTTTAGGCAAGTAACTTTAAACATATCTATTTGTATAAACCTGAGTGACTCAATCAGTGAAAAGGATAGAAAATCACATAACATGTCAAATAAAATATTATGCAAATTTTTAGATTTACCTCTTTTTCATGTTCTCTGACAAGGGCAAGATAGTTTGTTTTCAAGACAACATATTCATCAGCGAGATCTTTACGATCTTTCTCCATTTCAGCAAGACGTTCCTTGCTGTGTTTCGCCTGACGTACAGCTCTATCTCTCTCCTGTTGTGCCTCCAATAACTCACTCTCCAGTACTATAATCTAAAACATAGAAACATTTTTATAACAAAGTGGTAAATATATCTTAAGTCTTAAAATCAAAATGAAATTGCTGAGGGACAGATCTTTGTGCTTTATAAAAATGAGTTATCATTCACAAACTGTTTGCTCTAATATACAAACAAATACATATATGTATTTTTGACAAAATACTAGTGATGAAAATATCACATGTACATTTAGAAGTTATAAAAGTTATAAATAAAGAAAGATAACCCTAGTCGAAATAATGTTACATAAAAACTTTGCCTTGAATAGATAACATGGGTATCAAAACTCGATATGTTCAAATTAAACTTGACACGGAGAAAGGTTGTCTAGTGGTTAAGTTGTCTGCCTCTCAACCCAGGGATTGTGGGCTCAAGTTCTGCTTAGGTCAGGACAATTTTACTCATATTATACCAGGGCTGGTGAGAATGAATACGGAAGTGTGTTCCAGTGTGCTACAAATAAGCTTCATTATTTCATCATGATCAACCTTAAATACAATCTAAGATATAGAGGATATTGAATAAGTGTAAGTTTAATACTCATGAACTAATTGAACGAGTTGAATAAAATTATATTATGCGAGCCTCTGGCGAGCATATTATTTTATTCAACAAGTTCAATAAATTAAGTAATGAACTTACACAAATTTATTATTCTTTTTATAATATACCAAAAATAAAGACCGTTTGAAGTGAAAAAGAACCATTTTTCATTGATGCGCCGACAGTGTAATGGTAACATTTTGTGCGTCTTAATGCTATGTTTATATAATGCAAATGATGTCACGTCAAAGTATATGCACAGCCGTGCAATACCAGATTTAAGGAGTCGAAAAATATACAAATTTATATTTTTAAATTAGATAATATTGATAAATACCTTGTTTGTCAGCTCAAACTTGGTGGCCTCAGCCTCCTCCAGTATCTTATTATTTTCTATGTTCATCTCAACCAATGTCTGTGACAACTGTACATTAAAATAAAAACCTTTAAGTCATGAAAAATCATGAACACATCTAGTACCCCAGGCACAGTACTGACTCAAATTTAACTTACAATTTGTTGAAAATTAGTGGTTCAATATACCAGCTCTAAGCTGATAATATGTTAATTTAGATCAGTTCTTATCACATAAAATATCCTGTATCTGAACTTGTACACCTCTGCATTGATCACTTTGTAAATCCTTTAATCATCCAATTTTGTTTTTAAAATATTCAAACAGATAAGAAATGGTTTAAATGGTTATGATGATATCATAAATATGATTTCCATCTCATCAGCTGTGAAATGAGCAAAATGTGTTGCAGAATGTGTTCATTATAGAGGTGCTATTATGTACTAAAAGAAATACATGTAAGTTTTTAAATGTCATATACTGCATCAGGTGTCCAAGATTGCAAGCCAGTATCTATCTGCCCACCTTTACAAATACTATACTAATGACAATTTTTGGACCTTAATTGATATACCAGTATTTTAGGTTACACATGGCAGTTTCATTCAAATTCCTCATAAAACATCATCATTCAATTAATAAAACATATGATAACGTCACCATAGTGCAATAACTGGTTAACTCCGGTTAAATTTTGAAGGATTTAACCCGTTATTGCACTATGGTGAGATAAGTAATGTTAGTAAGTTAAAATTTCAGCAGTATTAGTTGATGAATACCTTGAGTTTGCTCTCTTCTGTAACCAAAAGTTCCTGTGATAGATCGGTCTTTGTGTGAGCCAGGGAGCCAAACTTCTGCTGTATACTCTCATTGCGGACACGTAGACGCTCATTCTCCTCTCGTAACCGCAGCTACAACAACATTTATACATTAATTGCTCCCATAACCTTAACTACAACTACATTAATACATTAATTGCATGTAATAATTTTTTTATATCTTATAATATAAATTATTTTCTTTCTAATTTACTGGTGGCTGAACGTCTGTAGTATCCCATTAGGTAACATTTCAGTCCTTCAGTAACTGAAGTGCTTTATCATTTTGAATTTTTTTAGTTTAATACCCACATCAGTGAAAGGTAAATGACTTGAAGTCTACAACCTTATTAACATCGGCCAGTGGTCTGATTACAGGAGTATTCATTAAATTCAGTAATATTTTAACATTTGTTTAATCCAGAGGTTAAACAAATTCATTACTTAGATATCTCTCAGTAAATATCTTTAATGCAATATTTTACATAAATGGCTGATCTCATGTAGTATTTTATGTTTAACTGAAAAATAACAAACTCTATAATGGATAAACACTTACCCTGTTGAATTTATATAATAGACATATACCATGTTTAAATGTTACTAATATGCCATATTTTTATGAAAAAATAAATAAAGTTGGCAAGCAACCTAAAGAGACTGAAACAATGTGCTAGCTGACTTGGTTCTTGATAAGTTAAATAGGTAATTCATTAACACTTCTGTAAATGTGAATTATTTTGTATAATTACATTTTCTGTTTCAAGACTTCGTATAGTCTCCTTCACATCTCCTGCGTTTGTCATTCTGGCAGCTATTGGTGCGGGACCAACACCAGACTGCTGCTGGAGGTCAATAATCCGAGCCCGATACTGCGTCAATAAGTTCTACAAAAATATACAAATACAATTATAAAAACATAACACATTGTCAATAGGTTTTCAAAATATATGTACAATTTTTAGTACATAACATACTGTCAATAGGTTTTACAAAATATATGTACAACTTTTAGTGCATTGCACATTAATTGTCAAAAGGTTTTACAATTTATATGTACAATTATTATGTTACATGTGATAATATAATGCTTATTTGATAATATCTTTACAAATAATGTTTTTTGGTACTTACAACATTGATTAATCTTCATTTGAGCATAATATTTATGATATAAAACCATAAAAATATTGAATTACAGGATCTTTTAGATATTATGCTAAAATTTTGTATCTTGTGGTCTATAATAATGTTTTACTGTAAGTTTTGTATTAATGTTAATGTTTCATATAAACGGAACAACAAAACTTTGTAGAATCATTACCTCTACCCAGCTAATCTGGCAACAAATGACAAACAACATAAAGGCCTAATAATCAGGACATAACTGGATTGAATCAAGAATAAAACATAAGATGATAGAAGAAAAGATAAGCCCAAATCACCTTCAAATACCTAGTTAAATATGCATTCTAATGCCCACTGGGTTCTAATTACTTAATTACTGAAGCTGAAAATTTGTAACTCAAAATTCTACAGTACTGGCTATAGTGTAATAAGATGACATTTGCAAATTTTCACATTATTTACATTGGAAAATACGCTTATATGTAACAGTATTACAACTGTTGAAAACTCTTCAAAATTTAAAATGCTTACAATGTTAAAAGAAAACATTTGATGAAAATAATTAAAATAAGGTCGTAAAATAGCATCTTCAAACTTAATGCTGATTGTTTGTATAAAAGAAATATCAAAAGATAAAGTACAGACATTTCCTCTAGTGAATCAGATCTTTCCCAAAATTTATGTTTTGTAAACTTTTTCCTAATAAAACATACAGATAGTGTAGCAATCCTGAAATTTTACTTATTATTATTTTTTTTTAACATTTTTACCATTTTCTTAATAATAACTTTTCAATTTTTGTCAACTTACATGTGTAACCCTATGCTAAAATTAAAACACCATTTTTGTTCTTTATTTTGAATAATTCATATCGGTTACAGCTACAAATTGTGAATTACTTTTCTGCACGGTTTAGTAATTACTTTATTACTTTTAAGTTAATTTCCTGGATTATCTAGTTCTGGTGTAGCACAAGGAAATATGACCTTGACTTAATTTATAATGGCTCAAACCAACAATCCCTGAGTTGAGAGGCAGACACTTATAAAACATTTGCCTGACAAACACTTTGTTTAATAATCAATATTACATACATGTGAACTTTTTTTCGATGATCAGGTGGGAGATTTTTCTTCAAAAAGAGGGAGATTTTAGAATTTGCAGTAAACAAAGAAGAAATTTCTGACATCAAAAATAGGGAGATTTCTTAAATTTGTGAAAATACCCCATATTTTAAGAAAAATCTTTGAAAATATGGCTGCAAAAAGTGGGAGTCTCCCGCTAAAAGTGGGAGAGTTCACATGTATGATATGAGAGAACAGATATCTGGTATTTTAAATATTTAAAGTATTAAAGATATACAAGGCTCAACTTTAAGTAAAATGCTTTTATTGCAAAAAAATTATTGAAATCTATCAAATCTTTACTGAATATGAACTGTGATAATGAACTATATAACTTGAATCATAAACTGTGTATGGGAAGCTGCATTCCAAATAACATGTACAAGTCAAGTGAAGTTGGCCATTTAGAAAAAAACAAACAAACAAAAAACTGCCAGTTTTCTTTTAATTACACTATGTTTATTATATTCACCTGTTGTTTGTATATTCATAATACAGTAAACTCCGCTTATAACGAACTCATTGGGACATTCAAAATCTGTTCCTTATATCCGGAGTTCCTTGTAAGCATATAGCAAATTAGTTCCTTGTATCAGGAGTTTTTATACCGAACAGATTTACATATAACGAACTGATTGTTAAACATCGTCCGTTATTTTTAAGAGCATTTGATTAAGAATAATTATTCATTCATTTCTTTTTTAGACACAATACCCAAGAGTGTACGTTTTGGAATTTAAAAATCCTTTGCTATTTCAATTTTAGTTTTACTCCCTTTCTCAATTTTTCATAAAACATCATATCTTGTTTCTATATCAGTGCTTTTCGTTTTCTTTCAATGAATAAGAATAAACAAGATTTTCCATTTTTCTTCCTTTTATATTGAATATCTTCTATTATATTTTAAGGGTGACTTTAACTAATGAAATATATAGATTTCTTTTCATTTCAATCCAGCATACTTTGTAGTTTTCTATTGATTATGTTTGCAAGCATGCGTGATTTTGTTGAAAACCGATAATTATTTTACTCGAGCAAAACTATTAAAGAAAAGAAATTATAGAATAAACGGAATTACCGTTTTATCTTTGTGACAAGAACTCAAGCTTAAAATATCCAAAATGAAAAACTATTACATACTTCGATACACATTCATTTTCATATATTGAATTACATACAACAATAAACGGTACATTCCGCGAGTTTTATTCTGTGCCATTGAAAACGAAAGTTGAAAATGCGGGATATATTTACGAATAGCCGATATTTGGAGTTCGTTGTAAAAGTGTAATTTTATGCACTTTTAACTAAATTGGGACTAAGAAATGAGTTCCTTATAAGCGATAATTCCTTATAACCGTGTTCGCTATAACCGTACATTTTTATATTAAATTAAGAAGGGCAAAATTCGGGCCAAAATAAATTGTTCCTTATTACCGGAAGTTCGCTATAACCATGTTCGCTATAAGTGGAGTTTACTGTATAGTCTGTGTACTCAAAACATGTTTATTTTACCTTTACAAAGGGACTGTGTAGCAATTATTAATTTTGTCATATATCGATTGAGCATAGTACATCTTTAAGCACATTTTAGGGAGTTTTCATATAGACATATAGGCAAAATTAAAACTGTTCAACAGACTTTCTTTAAACTTGGCATGTTCTTAGAATTTGATAACAGAAACATTTTGAGCGAAAAAAAAATTGGGGTCACCTTTCTCGTTTTTTGAGTAATCTGCCCCTGAATCAGAATTTTCTACTTATTTGAGGTCATTTAAAGGGCAGATAATTTATACAAACGTAAATTAATTATTGTTTTTACCTCTGGAGTTTTTCTTTTTATTGTTGAATACAATACACAATTACATGCGATTTCTTATATCGTTTCTGTTAATTTTTTACAATGAAAATAAAGGTACTTTAAATCCATAAGAATAGGCCAATTTTTAAGAAAAAATGCACAGGTTAAGAGAAGAAGTGGGAAAAAAACTATCCACTCTATATTTGTTCTTGAAATTTTGCATATTGACTAAGACGAAGGTAGGCTTCATGAAAATAAGAAGAAAAAAATGTATTGTTTGCTTCATTGTAAATTATCTGCCCTTGAATTTAATGAAAAAGTTCAATTCGAGGGCAGATAACTAGAAAATGAGAATGGTGATCCAAATTTGTTTTCGTTTACAATGTTTCTGTTATCATATTCTAATAACATGCCAAGTTTAAAGAAATTCTATTGAAAAGTTTTAATTTGGCCTATATGTCTATATGAAAACTCCGGAAAACGTCTTTAACCATATTAAAGAATAATTGAAATTAAATGTGTGTCTATAGAACATAAATAAAGGGGTGGAGTCTTTTCTGCCTCTAAATGGATGGAGTCTTTTCTGCCTCTATCAGCTATCTGCTTTAAGTATATTCTAAGTAACTAGAAAGAGGTTTTGATAGCTTGTCTAAAGAACTATAGGTTATGTTCTGTTACTTGTATGTTATTTGGTGAAACATGTACTGATGATGAATGTTCCATGTCAAATAGCCCTACAGCATGAAAACACATCATACATGAAAACATTTTAACCAAGCAAATCACAAAAAACATGTGTATAGTAAATATCATGTACATTTCCCTTCACCTAAATCAACATTACAGTCTAGTCCTAGAATCAACAAATTGTCAAATAAAACATCACAAATGTATGATAAGATGATAGTGAACTTCTTCGTTGTTGGACATTCTGACATAATCTAAAACAGCAGATTTATTGTGATTGAGATTTACCTAAGACTTAAGCCTGCCATGAGTAACATATACTTAAGTATATGATGGCTGTTTCAAGAATACTTGGGCCTAAAATTTAATGTAACAAGTTAATGTAATATCAAGTTTAATGTTATACCAAATTAAATGTTATATCAAGTTAATGCTATATACTATCATCTAAGGATGTTGACTGTCATCTTAATTCATACTTGATTTGAGCCGCGTCATGACAAAACCAACATAATGGGTTTGCAACCAGCATCGATCCAGACCAGCCTGCGCATCGGCGCAGTCTGATCAGGATCCATGCTGTTCGCTATCAGTTTCTCTACTTGTTATAGACTTTGTAAGCGAACAGCATGGATCCTGATCAGACTGCGCGGATGTGCAGGCTGGTCTGGATCCATGCTGGTCGCAAACCCATTATGTTGGTTTTGTCATGACACGGCTCATTTTATGCATTAAAACACACAGTGTTATTATTTACCACATGTTAGGACCAAACATTTCTAATAAAGAAATTACATCAATGTGAGATAATTAAACTTTATATGTAAGGGTTGAACAATCATAGTGTCTGTTAATATATAAGATGAAACCTAAATCAAGCCAATCTGGATGACTTAGAGAAAAAAAAAAAAAGGACTTTCTTCAAAAACAGACTTTAAGGGTCCATTTCTTTTGTCATTTTCTGTAGCTGAATAAGGTCCATATTTTTTTGTTAACAACTCAACACACTGATTTTCTTTTTACAGTTTATTGATTATGGCCCCTAAACCTAGCTTTGTTGCTCAAATAGAATAACACTATAAAATATGCCAATGTGGTATTTAAGCTGTTTTGATATTTTCATATAATTTTTAAAAACATATGAGCCACGCCATGACAAAACCAACATAGTGCGTTTGCAACCAGCATGGATCCAGACCAGCCTTCGCATCCGCACAGTCTGAGCAGGATCCATGCTGTTCGCTTACAAACCGTATAACAAGTAGAGAACTGAACTGCATGGATCCTGATCAGACTGCGTGGATGCGCAGGCTGGTCTGGATCCATGCTGGTCGCAAACCAATTATGTTGGTTTTGTCATGACGCGGCTCAAATAATCTCTCATGAACTGACATAATAGAACATAATCTGCAATTTCATCTATACTTATTTTTTTGTTTTTAATGATCTGTAGGGATCTAGATCCTCTATCTAGATTTTAATATGTAACTTAGGTAAATATATTTATAAACAAAGTAAATCTTTAGTCATCCACATATTAAAGTACATGTACATAAATGAAATTAGTAGTAGTTAATTAGTTATAAAAATATTAGATATTAAGTCTGACTACCAATAAATTAGTCTAGAGTTTTAGATTTACATTATTAACAAGCTACACACATTTCTGTTTACTGTTAGATAAGTTACAGCTATTAAAATATTGTCTGAGTAGAACCAAACTTAAAGAAATAATGAGATAAAGAAACAAATTTACCTGGGCATAACTGTCATTAACAACTGGGAAGTTCTTAACTTGTGTTACACGTGTTGTAAAGTTAAGTATGGCTGAGAGAGTCTCGGAATTGGGTGCTGGCTTCAGACACAAAATAGCATGAGATTTACAGTTCCCACCTAACTCGTCCTTTAGCAGTCGTGTCAGCTTAGAGTCACTGAAATACACATGTAAACAAATCCGAGATGTGCTTAATATACATGTATATACATACAATCTGTGCAATAAAAAATGCTTTCCTTAGCTTTCATCAGAAAAAAGTTGATGTTTATAAAGTAACAAATACATGTATATAGTAAAACCATTTTAACAAAATTGTAACAAGAGAAAAGAAAAATAACATGTAGGTAATGTTAAAGGAGAGACACATAATGCATAACAAATATAGATAATTTGATAGGAATAAAAAATCTTGTACAAAACACATGGATCATATCAATCCTTAATACACTGCCACAACCAAAATTGATTAACCTCTGTCAATATTATAGAGTCAGGTCAGTCTGTCTATCTTGCTTTATTGCTGGCAGCTATAGTTTTGTATTTTGATACTGAAATACCTTAAAACTTAAAATGGACCATTCCAAACAGACAGCTGGACAAGTCCATTTTAGAAACATCTAGAAGGTTAAGGATAAAAGACTTAACTACACAGTACCTATAGTTGATAACTCTGTCAGGGAATGGGTTTGAAGACAGTGATGTTACCACCTGGTTTAGGGCAATCAGAGCTTTACTCAGAGCTGGTCCTTCCCTTTGACGTAGTTGGTTAGGATCGTCAGAAAGCTTTTCAAGGCCAGGTAACTCAACCAGAGTAAAACGAGATTTGTTTGGAGATGGATTTTCTCCCACTAACTGTAAAAGACAAATCAATTTCAATAGATTTTTACTATAACACTTCTGTTTCTTTAACTTTATTAAAACAGCCTTACTGATATTTTTTATCTGAAATGATTTAATCATAATTAAACATAAATGCCAGAAGGACAGTGCAATATATTAACAAACGTTTTACTCCTATACTATAAACAAGAACTGTCGGAGGACAGTAACGCTCGACTATTCGAAAATTTGTCACAAGGGTGTTTCATTGAGTATAATAATGCTTACCTATATGAATACATAAAATTGTCCGAAAAGGTACAAACTCTTCAAGTTTCAATACATTCCCTTCAGTAGTTATGGAGATACAAGCTTACATGCAAAAACTTAACCAAGAATTCATGAGTCGAAAAAGGGGCATAATTATGCAAAAAAGCAAATCAGAGTAATGGGACTTGTACCAATCATCTTAGATAATCACAGAGACCAAGTGTGTGAAGTTTCAATCCATTCCCTCTAGTAGTAATGGAGATACCAGCTTACACGCAAAAACTTAACCAAGAATTTCTAAGTCGAAAAAGGGGCATAATTATGTTAAAAAGCAAATAAGATTATGGACTTGTGCCAATCATCTTAGATAATCACAGAGAAACAAGTGTGTGAAGTTTCATTCAATTCCCTTCAGTAGTTATGGAGATACCAGCTTACATGCAAAAACTTAACCAAGAATTTCTAAGTCGAAAAAGGGGCATAATTATGTAAAAAAGCAAATCAGAGTTATGGGACTTGTGGCAATTATCTTAGATAATCACAGAGAACAAGTGTGTGAAGTTTCAATCCATTCCCTTCAGTAGTTATGGAGATACCAGCTTACACACAAAAACTTAACCAAGAATTTCTAAGTCCAAAAAGGGGCACAATTATGTAAAAAAGCAAATCAGAGTTATGGGACTTGTGCTAATCATCTTATATAATCACAGAGAACAAGTGTGTGAAGTTTCAATCCATTCCCTTCAGTAGTTAAGGAGATACCAGCTTACATACAAAAACTTAACCAAGAATTTCTAAGTTGAAAAAGGGGCATAATTATGAAAAAAAGCAAATCAGAGTTATGGGACTTGTGCCAATCATCTTAGATAATCACAGAGAACAAGTGTGTGAAGTTTCAATCCATTCCCTTCAGTAGTTAAGGAGATACCAGCTTACATACAAAAACTTAACCACAGGGACGCTGACGCCGACAAATGGGTGACTGCATTAGCTCGATTATTCTGCGAATAGTCGAGCTAAAAATCAGTAGATAGCAACCAAATCAAACTTTTCATGCATTTAAGCATTTACTTTCATATCAAACATGATTCTTAACTTTCATTCTTCTGGTGGGGATAGATTCTACCCATGCAACCAGTGCTAATCAATACCAGCTGGCACACCCATGCTGTCTAATCATGGTTTGCACTTTTTTTAATTCAGTCAGTTGGTATCTTAAAATTTACCCTAACAATTGATGAATGGTTCTGTCAAGATAAGTCCATAAAAGATATTTACTGTGGTAAGGGTTAATTAATCATGTCTTTTTTAAGTTGTGCAACCTTTTTTGCATCAGAAATTTATTATTCTGGACAGACATATAAACAGACAGCAATATACCATATTATAGCCCTAAAATAACATCATCTTCTAAAACATTAACACTTATAAAAAATGTTTCAAACAACAGAACAACCACAAATAAATACATTAATATATATCTTTCTTGTAATGATCCATTATACTTGAAACTTTAATGTATTTTTATCAAAGTCTTTGAAAGTCATGCTGTCTCTCCTGGCGAAAATTATTTTAAAACCTTATTACATTACTATACTTAAAATGTACAATAATTTTCTATCAATATATCTGAGAATATTTGAAATGTTAATGATACATGTATTTTAATAAAGACTTACCTTATAACCCACTTTTACCTTAACTCACTCAAACCCCAAAACTACACATGAATGTATTTTACATATAACATAAACTGATTTGATATTCTGTATATTGATTAAGGTGATTGACTGAAATCTATCAAGTGAATAAACTGAATTAATTTCCTCACTCAGTGACATTAAAATGTTTATAAAAGTTTTATATAGATACCTGAACCCTAACAACAAGTAAAATGTTATTAAACAATGTTTAACATTATCAAAAGCATGCAAATGACTTAAAATGAGAACATTGTAACAATGAAATGTTGAACAAAAATCAGAAAGAGTTCAAGTAGAATAAAGAAAACTTTAAAAAATTAAAAAAAAAAAAAACAAAAAAAAACTGAAATTTTAAAATTTATTTTTTTAAATAAACAAATAAAAAAGTTACCAGTGGACTTAGAAATTTTGCTTTCTGCAAAAACAATGTAAATAAAATCATGTAATGTAAATCATAAAAATCTTGTTTACTTTTTTTCTATATAAATCAAATTTAATTCCTTTCTAAGTCCAAAATTTTAACAAAATGTTCACTACCTTATTTTATCAATACAACAAAAATCAATACAGAAGTTATCAGTGTATAAACAGTCACATAAGAAGTTATCAAAATACCAACGTTACCTTGTAAAATACACTGATTAATTCTGCCAACAACTTGATGCATTTATACATCAACATAAAATAACCTACACTATCAAATTGAAAGTCTTTTAAAAGCAAGATTCAAATGGAAATTAAACAATTCTTTGTTAACAATTAAAGAGAGGCAGCCATTGAGTGGTCTGTAAACAAGAATTACTATATTTGTAAAAGGAAATTTGTTCATTTGTAAATGCTCCTTTAATATCAAAAGGTATTAGGAGAAGAATTTTTATATGAAAATATGGACCTTTTGTTATATCATATCACAATAATAATTCTATATTATAACGCTTCTATAAAAAAAATACACAATGGCAAACCTGAATAATAAAGATTGAAAAATCAATTAAAAAAATATGGTGTTATGAAAACAAAACAATAAAAGTCCATTTTTATAATTTTTAACCAAAAAATGAAAAAATGAAAATAAAAAATTAACATATATATTACATCAAAATAAGAAGAAAATGGAGAAATACAACACGTCAACACCTGAGCTAGTTTAGTTCTAAGCAACCTTCATCATCACATATATACGAGGGTTGTTCAAAAAGTAATAGGACTGCAGCTCTACTGTTCACATTTTTAAATTTAGGTACACAATTTTACATGAGACAAATATCGGAACATGTTCTCTATATACAGTGAAAAAATCAAAACAAAATGTAAACAAATGAAATTTCTGTGAAATTTTCAAATGACAAGGGGTACGAAACGCGGCGCACGCTAACAATACAATAATTGACGTTCATGCATCGTAAAATAAATCGAAATTGTAATAGCGTCATTCTTTCTGAAAGTAGTCTCCCCAGTCTCTAGGTGTATGAGTCATGTAACTTTTACTTTGCCTCATATGTGGAGATGAAGCAAGAAAAAAAGCGATCACATTCTCGTTCCACTGTTTCAAAAAAAACAAAATAAAATAAATGCCCGATAGCCGGCCATTCACCGGGTTTTCTCGTCTTTTTGAGTAACCATGGAACTCAATAGGACTGAAAATGTTAAAGCAAAAGCAATTTATTTTATTTATTTACTCGTGTCATTGTATGTTTTTAGAACAATATGATTATATACAGAACAATAAAGATAATTCTCAATTGAAAAGTATCTTTTTCTACTTAGCACAGTCTATCGTTTATTAAAACAAGTTTTCGGGAAACACTACTAATTTTTACCGTTAACTATTACATTAATTTATTGATTACACGTATATCTAGTTAATTACAATAAAATAGTGTTGATAACAAATGTCTTATTTACAATCATTTGGTTAAAACTGAATAAGTAGTCCCGAAGCAGATACAAACAACGATAAACAGTTCGCGTACCGTTTACCGTGGATTTTTTTGTAGCGTTTTTGCAATTGACGTCACTAACGTCCCGTCAATTTTCAACTTTCATCCTCGCCCTTTCTCGTTAGTGATCTTGTTTTTGCAGTTTTTGAATTGCTTGTGCCAGCTGAAAACAAGTGTCCTGATGGCAGGATAATTTTCCTTTGTTTATTTAATCATTTTGTGTGTATCTGAATGATTATAGTCAATCTGTTGGCAAAATTTAACGATGGCACACATTTTCTGTTTGTTAACAAATGTCATATTTATACATCTAACGCTATGACCGCTGCTGTTCAAAACTTAATTAATAGGCCATTTCATGTCCGAATGACGTCAAATTTGGACATAATGTCACATTAATATATTTCAACTTATTGATGGAATACAGGGGAAAACAAATAGTTATTCATGAATAAATAAGAAGTAGAACTTAGCTCCAATAACTATATTTATGTGCTGCGCCGGGTGCGTGTTACCATGGTTATTCAATAGCAAAGGAAAAGCGCGTTTTGCACAATATATTAAAAAACTTATGTTTGATTTGTAGAAAACATTTTACGATTGCTGTACATATGAAAATATTCTAAATTGAATGAAATTTGAGTATGCAAGACTCCCAGTCCTATTACTTTTTGAACAACCCAAGTATAAGAGGGACAAGTGGACACAGAATATTTACAATTATAGGCCTATAAAATACAATACATGTAGTAAAGAGTAGAAAGATTAAACATGGCAGACAGTTTATCATGCATAATAGATATTATTCTAAAAGACTGACAAAAATTGTAAAATTGGAATAAAATGATCACTTTAGACAGGTTTTTTGTTCACCTGTATAATTTAAATGCAGTTATGAAAATAAAGTTGATATAAAAATAAAAATATCTTACCCTTGTTGGCTCTCAAATAAAGGTATAAAATGCACAATAAAAGAAATGAACATAGCAGCCAGTTTTGAAAGAATAGAAACAAGATATGACTTTACTTTATCATACATACATCAGAAAGACTTGTATTTCTGTCTATTGTTCAAAGCCAACTCTCTGTGACTTATGGTAATAAACAATGATTTCAAAAGCTTTCAGTAATCAAATCAAGGGAAATAATCAACTTCTTCGAAAGGATATTGCAGGAAAGTAGTAATGTCCCTTGTTATAAGACCACAAAGCTGCAAATATTTGGATTCTATTACAAATCTGACCATATTTCATATGTCTAAAAATATCCAATTGTTGAAAATGCAAAAAAGAAGCTCATACAAAATCTGAACATTAATGGACCTACTGGGCCCAAGAGTTGGAACAGTCTGTTAGCAATTTAAAAGATTTAAATGTAAAAATACTAAAATTTAAATGTGGCTAAATGTATACAGCCTGGGTGTTTGTGTAGACAAGTCTGGCTTAATACTGGGCAGGTGGCAATGGTTTGTATTTGTTTAAGGCACATTTACACTCAAAAATGAGTCTACTTTTTCTTAAAAATTTAATATGTGTTTATTCCCTTTTAATAATGAATTTAGAGCACCTATGGCAATTATCACCTGAGTAAAGTATTGCTGAATGTTATACAATTAGTCATAAAAGTAGAGAAATTGAAACAAAATGGTATTTTAACAAAATACTTATTAATTACTATCACTGTATTTAATTCCAGTAAAAAACAAAAAAACAAAACAAAAGAAGCAAAAGATGGTTCAGTTTTATAGCCAATAAAAGTATTTAGCAATTGAAACAAGACACCAAAAAAAATAAGAGGGTTTTGAGAAATTAATTTACATCACTTTGAGACTAAATCACCTTTTAAGGGCCATTACCATTACACCATTTACCACACTTGTAAGCCATGGTTCTCAGTTCACAATATATGATGAGTAGCTCATACAAAATTGAACAGTTTACACACAGTAAGGTATGGTATATCATTTTCTTAAAACATCTTTGTTGATGGTGTTTCAAATCACTTCAGTAAACACATGTATGTGTATTTCATTTAAGATTTTTATTTTCATACAATAGAATGGATTTAAAGGAACTGCACTGAGGCCTAAAAGTCTAAAACCATAAGATTTGAAATTCTTACATAGATCAGTTAGGGCACTTAAAACAGAAAGATATGCAAAAGATTATTTAGAAATACATTCTGAAATAAATTGAAAATAAAATTTTTATGCTTACCCAGATTTGAATGAAAAGCGTTGTAACTCTTTCTAATTTTGGGTAATTTTTCTTGATTTCAATAATTATTTTAAAGCAAGCAAATGATCTGAAATTTTGCACACAAGTTATTGATCTAAGCCTACATCTGATGAAAAATTAATCTCAAAACATTATTTCTAGTCCTGTCATGTCAAAAAAACCTCAGTGGAGTCCATTTAACATACAAGAGAAGGGATTTCAAAAAGCTGAATGAAACCCTTTGATGTTGACATTGTTTCACGAGAAAATCCGAAAAAAAAAGTTGTGCATTTTTTTAAAAATACAGTGAATCTGTCACAAGGAGCTTTTCATGAACTTTGATGGTTAGTGAGTTGAATATAAAATCAATTCCAAACATTAATAGGCCTACATACATCCCATCTTGTTGACAAATCTGTAAAAGAAGCAAAATTTTCCCTAATTGACTAATCAATGTATGAAATTTTTCCCTTAAAAAAACCAACTTGAAGGGGTTAAAGGGGCCCCTACATTCCTTTACAACTTTCGCTCCCTTTTCCTGAAACCCCCACAAAAAACGCTGGGCGTTCTAAAACAAATAGAGGGACTGAAATACCATACAACAAAACAAACTTTTTAAAAAAAACTTTTTTTTTCTTGTTAAAAAAATTTTGGGAAAAAAATGTCCCTCGGAACATTTTAATCACAACAAAAAATTTTCATAAGAATTGCAACTCCCCGGTTTATTGAGTATGTACATAGGGATAATGAAAAAGTCAACATCACTCACGCCCCCTAGCACCGGGTTGAGCGGTACTCAATTCTCAACACTTTATAGGTGGATCAATTTATCCGAAGGGCCGAAAAAAAATAAAACCTTTAAAAGAATATGGGGACTTTTAATCTGCCACAAGACTTGACACCCGTTTTGGTTTTAACAAAGAAAAAGTAATGTTATGGTTGTTGAGGTGTTGGTAATTTTCACACCAGATCATGGCAATAAGCCACATTGAATTTACCAGACCACACTTCAGCCATCGCATCATTCCTGGGCAGGTTGTCAAGCAGTTTTACAAAACTAGTTGCCTTAAATTCCGAGTGAAACTGATAATTTCTGGACATGCAACAGCAGAAATACAGTGTGAATGACTTCAGAAAGGATATCATAATCAATCACAAAAAAGTGGCCTGCACCGTCCGGGAATCAAACGTGGTTCACCGATTCACAGTCCAATACTCTACCTATTGAGCTAACCAGATGGTTGCCAAGTAATGTTACACTCTGGTAAATGCACTTTTATTACTGCATGTTTGTTAACTCACTTTTCATTGGATAATTATGACGTTTATATAAACTATATATAGAGCTGCTGTCATTTTTCAAAATTCCCAAAAAAAGAAAGTTTGCTGTATTGTTACAAAGGCTCTGGTTTATATATAAACAACCATTTATAGGGTTATATAACCCGACAAAAATCTTTATAACTATAATCAATACATACCTTCACATAAGTTCCTTTTTCTGCTGTATCACCAAGTTCCAGGTAAGCACTATTGTGGCCAGGCACCTGCTGTAAATCTTTAATTAGTTCATTATACACTTCAAACATCTCTAAGGAGACGATGGGTTTGTCACGTTTTACACGACGACTATCTGCCATAAAACGGTCTGCAAACAAACAAACAAAAATGATCCTTTTATTATCAAACTTATCATCTATTAATCTAGAAATAAATAATATAATTATCTAATTCTTAATAACTTATTGTTAGAGCAATCTTTTTTTTCTTCCAAATTAAAAAACTGTCACTCAATTTATATGAATTAATAGTAACAACAAATTGATGCCAAATATTCTAAAATAAAGGAAAAGAAAAATATAGAGAAATGTAGGTAAAACATTCATGCCAAGAAACAAAACAAAAAAAAACGAAACAGATAAAGATATAAAAAATAAAATGTTTTCTAGGTTTTTTTTTATTAAATGACAGTACATTTTTTTTTGTATTATGACATGCCAGCTTATTTTGTTATTATATTCAACTTCATGCATCTATTATAACATTCAAGCAGCTGTCATTAAAGACGTTTTCCGGAGTTTTCATATAGACATATAGGCAAAATTAAAACTGTTCAATAGAATTTCTTTAAGCTTGGCATGTTATTAGAATATGATAACAGAAACGGTAAAAAAATTGGGGTCACTGTTCCCATTTTTGAGTTATCTGCTCCAGAATCAGAATTTTGTAGACCCCAATTTTTTTTCCGTTTCTGTTATCATATTCTAATAACATGATGCTTCCCCTTCAGAATATATGATAACATATTGGTTTTAGCTAAATAATATACCGGTATCCACTATTAAGTACACAGGAGATTTATGAAAACATGTACTTATAGCTTACCTCCGTTAAGTCTCGAGAACAGTGTATCAAATATCATAGGTACAATCCCTGCCCTTGACGTTCCCTCGCCAGCTAGCGTGTATGTCTTTCCAGACCCGCTCTCTCCCATCACCATCAGACACACATTAAATCCAGCCAATAAAAAGTCAATAAGTTCATCAACACTACTTCTGAACAAATCAAGGTTAGAGGCATCCTGACGATGTAAGGCTTTAAAACTGAAATAATATTGGATATGGTGTATGATTATATTTAAAAAAAAAATTACAAAAGTTTTTGTAGTTAAAGGCCCATTAAAGCCCCACAAATGCTACCATTTTTATTTCTCAAACAGATTTTATTTTTGGAGTTCTGTTACAATTTCCAAAACTGCTTATTGACGCTTATATACTTTCTAAATCATATTTTGCTTTTTTTCTGCTTTTTTGCAATTATTACAGTTATAGTGTCTTAGTATTTTGTATGGAAGTCCAAAAGTGAAATACTACTTTGTTTATATTTTTTTACCTTTATGGCAAATTGTTTCACTTTCAGCGCTACTTTCTTCAGGTGACAATAAGCATTTCACATATGTTAAATCAATAATTGAAACATCTTATCTTGGATACACAAAGTATTTAATCTATGCAAATCTAAACTTAAATGTGTGGTGAAAATTTTCAGCCTGTAACATTTAGCAATTTATAAAAGTTCCTGACTTTACTAATGACATAACTGTTAATGATGTGTTTCCATGGTAATTTACATATGAATTTATAATCAAATTTACTGAGCAACTCTTACTTGAGATATGGTCCTCTATGTGTTGCAGCTAACCTCTGACCTTCTATCACCAAGTTTTCTGCACCTTCAGCCCTTAAACTTGGCCGCACCCGACCAAACACTCCAATATTCATTGTAATCTGTGGCTTTGTCTTTATGAGCCTATATCTTCATCTATGAAACTGAAACAAAAAATAAGAAGCCACTTCTGAGGTTACTTCCAGGAAAAGATACCAGTTACAGGTATATAGTTTGCTGATGTGATATATAGAGGATATTTGTTTGTTTGAGGATATTTCATCGAGTGGGCTTTAAAAACAGTATTCTCACTTGTGGCTACGCCACTCCTGAGAATACTGTTTTTAAAGTTCACGAGATGAAATAAAATTACATCTTACACAACAAACAAACAAATTTTGTTTTTATTTTATGCTTAAAAAAGAGTTAAAACGGAATTTCTTTGATATTATCTTTAATATTAAAATCTGTTTTCCCCTCTGATAGCCACTATTATGTACATGTATTAGTCGAATTTCTCATAAAAATACAAGAAGTCTTGGGCTGAAAAAAGTTTGACAATCAATGTTAAATGGCGATGATATTATTCATTTTATTGAAAAAAATATGAATGGTCGCTTGTTTTAATAATATAAACAAAGAATTATAGTAGGAGAAAAAGTCAACCATCCATCCATATTTCTGTTACTTACCTGGCTTTGTAAAATGTAAGCGGCAGCCATTTTTAAAAGTTGTATATTTCACGGGAGGAAAATAATTGTGTTTGATTCAGAGGGATATCATTTGGCTTTTGTTAGACATACACCTTTTTAAATGAAAGAAAACTTATTTGAGGATTGTAACAGACAATAAATAAGTGTTGACAGAAGAGTAAGCATTTGAAAAGCGGTTAGGAAATTGGAAAACTTGGAAAGTTGAAAGGCTCGGAGCCTAACGAACGCTGGGTTATTAACTTATTCTTCCGGCTGATGGCTGTCAATGCTTTTCAAGTTTTCATAAAGCATACGGCAGTTATTGCTCGTACGATACTTAATTATGCCCAAATGTCATCAAGTGCAGTTTTGCATGTGAGAGAAATGTTTTTTTTCAGACTGTAAAAATGATACAAAAAAATACTAAGAGACGATATTTGGTGATTGGTAATTTGAATGAATAGAAGTAAGTTTTCTTCTTTTTATTACTTTGACATTTAAGTTATTTATAAATTTCAGCTTTGCTTTTCTCTGAACAGCCTGACATTGTCAGAATTGTCAGCAAAAATAAAATTGAGGTACCACATGGGGAAAATCTTAAGAAAGTAGTTTCGTCATTGAAAAGTGTGAAATTATATTTTGATAATTTTCACTGTGAAATTATCAAATATAATTTTCACGGATAAATCAGTAATCCACTGAAAAGCATAAAATAAAACACTAATACCTCCTGTGTACAGATAAGTAGGAAATGTGATGAAAACCTGTTCAACTATCAGAATTTTCACCTATATAATAGTATATTACTATATTAAATAATTCTATGTCTTTAATAAATAAAATATCATGCATACAAGCAAAAAATTTTTATGAAAAATCAGTCTGACATAACAACATTGTATAATTATAATGGGTTATACAGGGAAGTCAAAGCCTGGGGCCGCAAAGCTTGCCCGGCTATAGACTACACGTAGCCAATAATAGCCAATCGCAACTTTTCAAATTACAAGATAACAATAAAAGCTGAGCGATTCTGATTGAAAACGGATGCGTAGACTGGTTCCCAGCGCATTTCTATGGGGACCATAATAGGACAGAGAACAGTGTCTATTCTAGGACGCGCGATTGCGCGATTCACGCTAGTATTTCAGAGATCGAATTCAAAATCATGTGCGTGAAAATCGCGCATCTATAAAAAAAGTTAATAAAACCGTAAAACTTCCATCCCACATTATATTTGGTTGTTTTGTTTACATTTACACCAAAAACCGAAGGGAGGTAACTGTAAGCTAATTATAATAATTAAGTACCGTATGGTATTGGTTACGTGAGTTGACGGAAATTAACGGAATGTTCCGCATCGACCGGAACTAGTGTGCTAGGTCTGATAGTTGGGCGCCATTTTAGTGTAGTAAATAATCAAGAAAAATGAGGCAATTCCTAGCTTGGCTACGATCTAGATGTGAAAGATAGGTCGATTATTTGTATTGCCAATCCCTTTATAATCAATCGCGGCAGTTCTGTAATAATATGTTTTCATTTAAAAATTAAGGGGGGACAACTTCTGCTGCCTTAAATAAATATTATCGTTTTAATTATTTCATCGGTTGAACGCCTCACTGTAAACTTAATGCAGACGATTTAACATTGGCAGTTTATATTGGCACCCCTTGATTTTGAAAATCGCCCCCTTTTTTTAAATAGAGGGGGGAAAATCACCCCTATTTTTCAATTCCTAGAATAGACACTGCAGAGAACCAGAATAAACGGAAGCAGTGCACTAAATACCGAATGGCACTTTTATAACAGAAAATGTAAATTAAAAATGAACGATTATTTTAACAAACTTCCCCATTCATAGGCTTTGCCTAATTTCATATTATATAATGTACAGGAACTACATTTGTACATACATGTACTACACTTCATACAAAAGAATGGATAATTTCGGTACCTCATATGAGGCCTCATAACTAAAGGGTTATACTACGTTTAGAGCTGAACATAATGGAATTTCCATAATTTGTGTAACGAGCCAGAGATAGATGTTAATTTATGTCTCTGGACGAGCCGAATATTGATGTGTAACATTCATTTTTTTTTTGGTAAGTGATGGTAATAAAAAATAATTTTTAAGTAACAACGATTTTTGTACGGGAACTGCTCGTATGCTAGCACAGTAGTCTTATGGGTTAGGGTTAAAGATTAAAAAAAGTGCAAAAAAATACAAATTTTAGTTCTGAAAAATACACAGGGTTCTAATCCAAGAGATTGTCCCGATTCAATCGTCGCATCTCTAAACCACTGAAGATTTAAAATACAACTCATAGATCTATAAAAATACACCAGATGTTTAAAAATAAAACTTGATATTAATACCAGAAAGCATCATTGTTTACATTGGTTTCCACCACATCATTTACAAATGAAGAGTACTCGTTACTGCGTAATATTTTCTAACCATGCAACCAGCAAGGTATGATAACACTAAATGTTCGGTCACTTATTATTCGAATGGGGAGAGCTGTTTTGCGACTCGTTTTTGCTCAATACAGGGAAGAGCGTTTTTGCAAACTCCGCCCAAACGGTAATGAAGCGCGGAAGAAAATGATAGAATAAACTATATTCTAACAGTTTAGAAAAATCGAAGCACATCATTAGTCCTGTTAGTTAAGATAACCTAATACTTGAAAATCTGGATCAATCACAAATTTGTTTGCATTTTTGGATTGTTTAAAACAATAAATTTGTAGTAGTGGCACAGCAGTAGCAGTAGGAAACGTGAATTTAGCAGTAGTAGTGGCACAGCAGTAGCAGTAGGAAACTTGAAGTAAGCAGTAGTAGTGGCACAGCTGTAGCAGTAGGAAACGTGAAGTTAGCAGTAGTAGTGGCACAGCGGTAGCAGTAGGAAACGTGAAGTTAGCAGTAGTAGTGGCACAGCAGTAGCAGTAGGAAACGTGAGGTTAGCAGTAGTAGTGGCACAGCAGTAGCAGTAGGAAACGTGAAGTTAGCAGTAGTAGTGGCACAGCAGTAGCAGTAGGAAACGTGAAGTAAGCAGTAACAGTAGCGCAGCAATAGCAAAATTATAAAACGTGAAATTGGCAGTAGCAGTAGCACAGCAGTAGCAGTAACAAGTGAAATTGGCAGTATCAGTAGCACAGCAGCAGAGACATAGATAACATAGTTATCTATGTCTCTGACAGCAGTTAGCAATAGCACAGCAGTAGCAATAGCACATAAATAGCTGAGCAGTGACATGAATAATATATTTTCAACAATCATTTAGCTTTTACATGTATTACAACTCCACAATATGACGATTTTCAGTGTACATTTTGTTATTCAACATCAATTACTAAAAAATAACACTTACGGTATTTAGAAAACCATTCATTCTAAATTATAGAGACATGTTTTAGAAAGAAAAAAGACAATTTTATATAAATTGTTTCATCAGATATGTAATTGTATTTTTATAGAAATTTTAATTTTACAATCGAAGATCGTTTGCTTTTGTAATGCTGGCTGAATACTTCTGAATACTTCATATAATTGATTTCATGAACGAACATAACATTGTAATTTATCATTAAATGATGTGTATATGATGTATATCTTTTCTCCACGACGAAGGTACGTTACTTACATTTAATATATAGATATAATTTTCTATGTTTTCATCCTTACATGATATTTTCTGTGGTTGATAGTCATGATATTTTCTGTGGTTGGTAGTATTAATCGGGTTTCTCCCCCCCCCCCCCCTGTAAATCAGCGAGTACAGACCGTTGGTCAATGTACATGTAAACATGTACACCGAACAACAAATTCAAACATTCAAATATATACATGGTGAAAATTCTTTTTTTTCTGAGAAGCATGTAAATTAACAAGAGTGTCTGTACTTATTTTCAGAGGTACAATTAGTATAGCATTTTTATGTTGATATATACACTGATGCGAATATATATGCAAATATATCAGATGTGGTGATTTCCAAATAACTGGTTTCTTTACATTAAAGTAGATTGGATAGAATAGGATGGTGCCAATTAAAAATGATATTCTGATGCTAAAATATTAATAATATCACATAGAGATTGGGGCTAATAAGCAAGACAGATTACGAAATTTCACAAAATACAGCGTTCTGCTTACTGTCTATTGTTTGATGTGCATATTTTATAGCAAAAATATCAATACAGTACATTACCTGTAGGAAATTAGCAGTAGCTGTGAGCAGATGCAGTAGTAAACTTATAAAACGTGAAGTTGGCAGTAGCACAGCAGTAGCAGTAGCAAAATACATATGTAATAATTGTGCGTTCATAACAAACAAAATAGAATATAACGGAATGTAACGTAACGCAACGTAACATAAGACAAAAAACGTAACATTTACATACTTTTCAAATCACATGCAATTTATAGTCAATCTTGTAATACAAATAAGCAGATATTTTGCTGAGTTATTTGTTTTCATAGTTTTAACATAGCGTACTTATACGTAATCCAAAAAACAGTATATTTACAAATTTAACAAAAATATAAAGCTTACTAACTCAAATATATATTACTTACTAACTGACAAATAAATAGCATTATAAATTCGTTTATATCAATATTGTAAAATTTGATAGAAAACAGTTAAGTTAACGTTGCACCCTCAACTAAGCAGACATGACATAAACATTATCAAGATAGTATAACCAGTGTACGCACTAAGCACATTTGTTATAGGGGTTATCTCCTATTTACCATTGGATAGCGGAAAGTGCAGACGATGATCATATAATTTAAGTCATCTCAATGACATGCCAATTTATTAATTGTTATAGTATTTGTTATAGCCAAAATTATTTCAATAACATCTTTATTTTAATGTTTTGATATTTTACTTAAATTCGTCCTTGAATAATTTTATGTGTGAGTAATATGTTTGAGTAAAGTATATACATGATTTATTTGGTTCGATATGCTTCATAAAAATAGATAAATAATAACATATACAAATAAGGGACGTTCACTCTGAATCTCATATTTGTAAAATAGAGAGAAATAGAATCCCAAAAGAACGTGCAAAACGGAAAATAAAAATGTTACAGGCTTGCTTTGATTGAGCCTGTTCGTCATCAGTGGACTGTAGTGTACTGGAAAATGCAATCTACCGTCCACGCCCAAGCAGAAAATTCAACATTTAACATGAAATCATAAAAAATTTGAATTTTGAAACATCCGAAGATGTGTTTGTCAGGCGTTTTTCATGGAATCTTTAATATGACATGTTAATGCCATTCCATGAAAAGCGGCATATGGATAAGAATGTGTATGTCTTAAACGAAGAAAACAATGGGAGAATCTAATAGATTGGAATTTTGAATTTGTTCCATGTATATCAAAGATGTGCTGTCAAAAGACAAATTGAAAAAAGCAAGCAATATATTCTTATGGTGATTAATCTGTATCCAAGTAAGAAATACTAGCTAGAACCACCTAACTAGCAAACAAGCTTAAAGAAATAACTTAAAGTATCATAAACACAACAATTATGTCATGTCATCAATGACACGGAAATATAACATCTCTTATTGTATGTACTGGTCGACTTTAAATCAAACTTCGGGAAAAATACACTCGACCCGATTACATATATAAAAGAAATGTCCAAAATTATCGATAAGGTACATGCCAACAGAAATAAAGAGAAAAAAAAATATTGACTCCTATTGGATATAAAATAATTTCAGGGCTTCCACTAGTGGAATTTTGGGAGTCATTTACTCCTTCAGTCTGGCTTAATTGTGACTTCCAAAATCTAATACCTCTCCTTCTGTACCTATATAATGTGACTTCCAATATCAGAGATTTTGATGTCCTTCATTCATTAGATAGTTGGCTATTCTAATTAACATTTAGACAACAAATAACACAACATTTATTATAATCACACTTGAGGCAACTTTAAAATAACTCAATATTGTTCTTATTCAAAAGATTTTTGACATGTGATCAAAACAGGGTTTTTCAAATTCTATTTGAAAGACCATGGAAAAAAAACAAACAACAAAAACAACAACAACTACAAAACAACAGGACAATAGGAGCTGTTGATAAAATTCTATGTGTCCTGTACGTATAGCCAATTATTTCACTCGTAAATCTGTATAAAACATTTAATATCATTATGTTTACAACTAAATTGCACTATTTTGAAGTAAAAAAAATCAATAAAATTTATTATGATTTTTAAAAAAAAGAGATGAATAAATTTTTATGTCACTAAACTAAATGAACAAGTGAACAATAAAAGTTGGCCTTTTTGTTTTGTTTTTCTTTTAAATCTTATAATTGCCTGCAATGATATTTTTACAAATCAGAGTCTTGAAATTTATATCTACTGAATATTCAAACATGTATACGGTCGAAAAAAAAATTCTATACACATATTCATATACACGTAATTAATACTATATAGTACTCCCTGCAGATATCGTGTTCTCGGCGATATCGCGGCAATTCGAACATGTGCTCATTGAATAAGAAACGCCACTTATAAACATAGCATATTTGACAATAACTTCGATACGTTCAAGTAATGATGCAACAGTCGTTACTTATTACCAGTAAAATAAGTCAGTGAAAAACCGCCTAAAAATCCCTTTCCATCCTGTTAAATATTAAGTAGCGCGGTATCCAGGGGCACCACACAAAACTTGGGAGTACATGTATACATTTATATCTTTATCTGCAATATTGCAATAGTCAGACTCTATAATATGCAAAAATAAACAAAGAAAGGGCTCTATAGAAAGACATTTTGCCAGATGTCTCTAAATGTCGGTCCGTCGGGAACATTACGTAGTCAATGCATGTCCAAAAACAAATAAGAAGTCTGTAAGTGTAAGGGAATACGTAAATATTGCAGACGATCTTATGGATTAAAGAAACATAAGACCAACACAATCGTGTAAATAATGATATTACTGCCTAAATCAGGAAATATATGATCAAGAAGTTTGCGAAAATATTGTGATCTCCAAGCATTTTTTTCACTGTATCTCTCTTGGTATAAAATTACTGTTTGCGCCATGTAATCGCTCTCTTTTAGTTCAAACAATATTCTTTTTAACAGAACATTTAACTCTTTACAAACCTCTTATTTCGAATGATGATATAAGGTAATTAACTACTAGTTGATGAGGAAAATGTTGCTTTTATGATGTAAAATGTGGATTATATTACCCCAAATTCAGAAACATTCCGCCAACCCTTTTTTATTAAAACACTTGTTTTAATACAAAGTTGACCACGGACAGAGAAAAGGAAGAAAACCAAACATTACAATAATCGTTCTGTAAAGTTATTATAAGTAGAAAGCAATGCGTAATTTATTATATCTCATATGATCGTCCGTTTGGTATTTAATAAATCTGCATGTTAAATATTGAAAATTCTTGCATTTGTG